CTCCTGCCTCAGCCTCCTGAGTAACAGGGACTACAGGTGTGTGCCACTGTACTTGGCTGTTTTTAATTATTGGTTCTGGGTCAGTTGGGCCTCCATGTGGGGGGAGGGGATGAAACTTGATTGCTACCTGATACACAAATCAAATCCAGTGGAACGCCCATCTAGATGTAAAAGGTAAAACCTAACTTTTGGAAGATAGCAATTTCCTTATGACTTTGGTGTAAGTAAAATTCTTAAGACACCAAAAGTACAGTACTAATTCTAAAGATAAGTTGATAAAATTAAGAACTTCTGTTTATCAAAGAACACCATTAAGAGTGTGACAAGACAAGCCACCTATACCAATAAGGGGCTTATATCCAGAATATGTTTAAAAATGTCATAAAAATTTATTAGAAAAAGACATACAGTTAAAAAAAATGGAAAAGCAGACATTTCACAGTATTGTCCCAAGTATCAGATACACATGAAAAGATGCTGCTAGTCACCAGGAAAATGCAAATTAAAGCCATAGTTGAGCATCACTACACACTTACCATAACAAGTGAAATTAGAAAGGCTGATGATTCCAAGGGTTAGTGAAGGAGTGGAGCTGTAAGAATTTTCATAAACTGCTAGTGGAAAAATAGATTGATTGGAAAAAGCGTCTCTGTGTATACTAAAAGGTGCATAACAAGAATCTTATGAGTGGCAGTATTCATAATAGCCCTGAACTGGAAATAATACAGGTGTCAATCAAAAGTAGAATAAACAAATCATCCTATGTTCATATAATGGGATATTATTAAGCAGTGATAGTGAACAAACTACAGCTTATAGATGTAGCATTAGGCAAACAAACCCATTTATATAAAACTAAAATAAACCTGGTTTTGGAGGTCAGGATAGTAGTAACTTTTGGGGAAAATGAAGGGGCAGCGGTATTACTTAGAAAGGGTCATAGAGTGGTGTGGTGGGCTTCTGGGATGCTTGCCTTTTTTTTTTTTCTTGTCACAGATTCATTTCATAATTGTTTAAGCTGTATGCTAATGAATTTTGTACTCTTCTATAATATTGCAATAAATAAATTTGACCATAGTGTGTAATGAAGGCATTGATAATAGAAACATAAGTTTACATTTAAAAAAGTGCTTGTGTGTAAGTTTCCATCCTGCATGCCTATTTGTGATCTCTCATTTAAACTTCTTAGTATGGAGTAGAGGTTAGTGTAGGTATCGCTGCTTCATAGGTGGGGAAACTAAGACCCAGAGTGGTTAAGCAATTTCTCATTCACAGCCTTAGCCTTTTTACTGTTTATAAGAGCTCTTTATATATCTTAAAGACCTCAATCCTTTTCATTTGTTTTTTGTTTTTAACATAAAATTTGAAGGCCTTCTTTCTCTCTGTTGTTTGAATTTAGGAATTTTTTGCTGTTACAGACTGTGCCAGGATAAACATGCTTGGCATCTTTGTGCTCATCATCAAATATTGCATTAAGATAAAATTCTTAGAAGTTTTTTAACAAACAATAAAGTAAACAAAGTTGCTCCGCATAATTGAATTGAATAAATGTATTTTTCACTATGCGTAATGAATGAAATGTTTAGCAGAATTATCCTATATATGATCCTGAGTACACTGTCTTTTAACTTACTTAGCAAATACTTGTTTATCATGTAGAATGGACCAGTTAAGGACCTCACACTGTAGTGGAGAGAGAAGCTAAGGTCTGAAAGCAATGCTAAGGGCAGGTGATACTCAAATTCAAGTTGGGGTAGATGACTTGAGATTTGCATTTTAATTATAGAAAGATCAGTTTAGCCATTATATTGAAGAAACACAGAGTTGGAAATAGAATCAAGACAGAAAGCTATTAGGGATCTATTTTGGTAATCTTAAGCTAGAAATATGGTAATGGAATGAAAAGAAGAGATGGTATTTGAGCGTTCTAAAGGAGATGAAATCAGCAAGATTGGGCAGCTGTTTTCACCAGGTGGGCCATGGGGGGCGGGGAAGAACTGTAATATGACCCCCAGAGTTTTAATTCTGGTTGACTGGGTAGAAAGTGGTATCATTCACTGTGGTAGGAAATAGAAACAGAGCTTGTTTGGGTGGAATAAAGTTTTGTTACCTTCAGTTTGCAGAGTCTGGATCATTCAGGTAGAGATTGTATGCTCCACAAGAATAGGCACTAGCCCACTATCCTTTACTGTGTGTTATAGCACATTCACTGTACAGTACTATACAGTAATTGCAGATAATATCAGGCCATTTGTTAATTGCCACAGCTGCTCTTGGTACATGTGTTAAAGCACTTAATGTTTACAACAACCTTTTCAGGTGGATATTAACAGCATTTTCAGGAATTAGGTGTGTAAGGCCATACAACCAGTAAGTGGTAGAGCTGTGATTTCAAGCCCTGGCAGCCTGGCTGAGAGTCTGTGCTCTTCACTGTTGGGCCACTACTATTATGTGTCTTGAAAATAGTAGGCTTCAGAAAAAGTATTCTGGTGTTGAACAGAATGGTCTGTTGTATGGTTGGGAGTTAGCTGATTCATTCAGGAGGACAAGCACAAATATTCTGAGTCTGGAATTTGTTGACCAGGGTTTTGTGCTTTACCTTTTGGCTTTAGTCTGTGATTACAAATTTGGCTGAATATAAGAAGAAAAGTCTTTTTCACTCTTTTCCTTTTTCTTTTTTTTCCTTAAAGGAAGAATTGCCTTTTATTAGTCAGACACCAATACTTACGGACCAAAGTGTTAATTTTTCATTCCTACTGTGGATATCATGATCATGGCCCCAGCCTACCTTGGGATAATTATTTACTGTTCTTTCTTTGTGGTGAGCTTGGCAGGTTTAAGTTCTCTTATGACTGTGTTGGAAGGATCCAGAGGAATCCAACAACCTTGGGTTGAGAAGTTTAGTTCTGTGTTGTGTATGGTTTTCCTGTTTTTATGCTCAACCTTTGATTACCTGTGTCAATGGAGAGCCCATTAAAGCAGATCTTTCAACTGGTTTGGGAGATGCTACAAGTAGTATCTGCCATATCCCTGGCAGGTGCAAAGCAGCATCTCAGCAGTGTGTTTGAATTGGTTTGTGAAGAGCTGAGCCATTGAAGAAGCCTCTCTTGAGAATTCAGAGATTAATTCTGTAACTCATGTTTTGGTTCTCAACTGATGAAAATCTCATGTGTGAAAATAAATGTTAAATGTTGTTGCTTTACAAAAAGATTTTCATAAGATTTTTCTCAATAGATTTATATTAGGTTATTAAGTATGGAATGTTCAATTTCCTTAAGTACTAAGTTTGAAAGTTGATATCTGACATTTATTATTATTTTTTTATTGTGAAGGTACATCCTCATTCTTTCAAACACATGTTTGGGCTTGTGATTCTCTTTCAAAGATTTTTTTAGAGCAATTTTTGTGAAATCATGGATAAGTCAAAAATTCGTGTTGTTTTTTAATATGAGTTCCATTGAGGAACCAATGTAGCACAGACAGCTCAAAATATCAACGAAGTGTTTGGGAAGGTTGTTGCTAATAAATGCACAGTTTGATGATTTGACAAGTTCCATTCTGGTGATTTTAATCTTAAATGAGCCACGTGGGTGACCTGAGACCAGGGTGGATAATGATGAGATGAAAGCTGTGGTAGAAGCGAATCCTACACGTGAATTAGCAGCAAGGTTTGGCATTACTATTCCAATGATATTTGAAACAAATGGGCAAGATAAAGAAGCTGGACAGATGAGTTCCACATGAATTAAACTAGTGACTAGTGTCAGAAAAGAAATCACCTTGAACCTTGCCTTTCTTTGCTGTCACCACGTAAAGGTGAACCATTTCTACACTGTATTGTTTTGTGTGATGACAACTTGATTTTTTTGACAATTATAAGCATTTGGCACAATGATTGGATAAAGATGAAGTGCTAAAACATAGTCCAAAACCTAAATATTCATCAAAAAAAGGTAACGGTGTCTGTTTGGTAGTCCAGTGCTGGTATTATCCACTCCAGCTTTATGAAACCTCATCATTCCAGTACAGCAGATGTCTACTGCAACCAATTGGACAGAATGATGAGGATGCTTGTGATTAAACAGCCGAGATTGCTCAATAGACCAAGACCACAAATTGCAAAAAACAAGGCTGTTCAAATTACAGAAGCTGGACTTGGAAACACTCTGTCATCCACCATACTCCTAACTTGTACCAGCTGACTACTTCCAGGCTTTGAACCACTTCTTTTTTTTTTTTTTTTTTTGAGACAGAGTCTCACTTTGTTGCCTAGGCTAGAGTGAGTGCCATGGCGTCAGCCTAGCTCACAGCAACCTCAATCTCCTGGCTCAAACAATCCTTCTGCCTCAGCCTCCCAAGTAGCTGGGACTACAGGCATGCGCCACCATGCCCGGCTAATTTTTTATATATATGTATTAGTTGGCCAATTAATTTTTTTCTATTTATAGTAGAGACGGGGTCTCGCTCTTGCTCAGGCTGGTTTTGAACTCCTGACCTCGAGCAATCCGCCCGCCTCGGCCTCCCAGAGAGCTAGGATTACAGGCGTGAGCCACCACGCCCGGCCTTTGAACCACTTCTTGCAAAGAAAAATATTCAATTCTCAATAAGTTGTGGAAAATGCCTTTTACAATTTCATTGCCCCACTCTCTCCAGGCTCCTTTGCTGCTGGCATAAGCAAGCCAACCTTAATATGGCAAAACTGTATCAATAGTTTGGGCACATACTTTGATTAATTGCTCTGCTTGTTTGAGATATATGTTACATTTTGATTTGAAATTGGACATTTCATATTTAATGACCTAATATTAATTTTAATCACTACATATTTTATACCATTTAACATATAAGTGTTGTATTGAGTGTCATATACCTGTTTATAGTTATAAAGGTTTTTAATATATTGAACATACTAAAATCCTTAAAGAACCAATTAGATATGTCAAATGATATAAACATTAGGATATGACTATTTCCTTTAAACCTGACTTATCTACTTTTAGGAGGAGAGACTTCAGCATGCAAACCTTCATCTGTTCGGCTTGCACCGTCATTTTCATTCCATGCTGCTGGCCTTCAGATGGCTGGACAGATGCCCCATTCACATCAGTACAGTGACCGTCGCCAGCCAAACATAAGTGACCAACAGGTTTCTGCCTTATCATATTCTGACCAGATTCAGCAACCTCTAACTAACCAGGTAAGTTTGTGGAGTATTAGAAATGACTTTTGGAATAGTAGTTTATTCCTTTAAAATGTTGGGATATTAAATAGGCAAAATACTTTCATGGTTTTCAGTTTTACATGTTACATGGGATTCTGGATTGACAAAACATGATGTTAAGAAGTTTGCGTTGAAAAGTTTTTTGGTTTTTTTTCCTTTTTACTTGGCATTTCACTTAATTAAAAAATACTCATAAACATAGCCACAGTCTCTTATTCTAGAATAGAGAGGAAAAAGTTATTTCTGAAGAATATTAGTTAAAGGAACTTAAATTATGGACAGGTGGTTAAGTAACAAAAATATGTTACGGGAACACATCAGAATCCAATACAGCAAACTTGCAGAACCAACTCTATGCTGTTATAAACTACTTTACTACACATTTATAAAAGTAAATATAAAACTCCTTAAAATTAAGAAGAAACATATGCAAATTAACCATGCTATTTATTCTTATATTCAAACTAGAGATTCACCAATTTTCCATAAAGCTAATGGTGTAAAGTAATGAATACTGAAATCTCTTGAGAGAGAGACACACACACACGTATGTATTTATATCATCCTGAATTAACTACACCTACTACATTGATTTTTGGTTTGGGAAGAATTTTCTTGTCAGCTGTAGCTGTGAGGTAAAGTTCTTTTCCCTCTGGTGTTGGATGTTTGACAAGCACTGAAAATGGCTGCTCTTCCCTTTAGGACTTAGGAATTTAGTTTGCCACTGTTTGGTTTAGGTCTTTTAGTATATGAAGTGAAGATAATAAAAAGTTGGGAAATTTGGAAGTATTTCTTTTCCTGGATTGTTTGAAGGAATTGTATTTTCGGTAATTCAGTAATATGTGATTTTAATGAACAGGTGGCTACAGTTAAGTGTCTTCATTAATGTTAGCAGGTGTCTTTGTATAAGATCTAGCTAGTAGTTAAGCCAGCATTACATTTATAAAATATATATAACATGTGAATAACGTTCACAGTTAAATAGTTAATAAGATAAATTATGGCAGGACTTAGGAAATTTTTTGTGCGGTGAATTGACTGAGAATTGAGTTCTGTGTTTGAGAATTGGAGCAGTTGATCAGAATGTTCAAATTTGGGAAGTGTATATAACTGTGTAACAGAAGAAAGTTCTCTGGAAGTCCAATAAGTAACAATAGCACCATATGATCCATTTGCACTTTGGAAAAACCAAGTATGTTAGATTAATTTTCCCACTTGTTCAAAAGCAGCCTATTAGGCAGGAGTGCTATTTTTAATGTTTTCCAGCTGAAGGGACTGAGCTCCTGTTTGTCACTTCTCCGCCTTTGTGTGCAGTAGACTATGGGGTCCAGTCCAGGCTTCTTTCTTCTTAGATACGTTTCTGTAAAATCTAACCTCTGGCATGTATGGAGGGCTAGAAAAAATTCTAGTTCTGGTTATTTTTATGGTAATATTATTTTAGTAGGTAATTTAGTTAGCAAAGTATACCTCATTTTATATGCAACTGACATCTTGTTTGTCTTTGGATCACTTTAATAAAGAGGTATTTCATTTAGTATTTCCATTTTAAGCTATAACATGGTTTACAAGCATATAACATGGGCACAAGGTCATGGCTCATGATCTGGTGGTAGGACTTGAGTCAGGTCACCTGGACCCTTCATATCTATTCCTTGAATGTAAAATCGGGACCTTAGACTAGACCCCCTAAAGTACCTTCTAGCTCTAAACTTCTATAATTTCATTATTTGATTTCCATTGTTTCTGGTTAATCATCTCATAATAAGGTTTATTGTACAAGTAAATTGAAATTAACTAACTTTAACATTTTATTTCTAGTAGTTAATTATTATTATTATCTTTTTTTGAGACAGAGTCTCACTCTTGCCCAGGCTAGAGTGCCCTGGCATCAGCCTAGCTCACAGCAACCTAGCTCACAGCTCAAACTCCTGGGCTCAAGCAATCCTTCTGCCTCAGCCTCCCGAGTAGCTGGGACTACAGGCATGCACCACCATGCCCGGCTAATTTTTTCTATATATTTTTTAGTTGTCCAGCTACTTTCTTTCTATTTTTAGTAGAGACCGGGGTCTCACTCTTGCTCAGGCTGGTTTCGAACTCCTGACCTTGAGCGATCCTCCCACCTTGGCCTCCCAGAGTGCTGGGATTACAGGCGTGAGCCACCGCGCCCCGCCTCTAGTAGTTAATCTTACATGAGTATGTTTGGTACAAGTTTTAAAAACAGTTTTGTTCAAAAGATAAACTTAGGAAATGAGAAATGTAGTAAAAGTAAGTGTAGAAGAATTATGATGGATATTTGGAATGCTGAATCTCTGTGGGCTGTTCTAGTTTTCACAGTACCTTTTGTGGTTCTTCAACTGAACCGTGGATATGTGTTATATATGTTATTCAGTTTTGTTAATAGTTCTCAAAATAGCAACAAAGGCCACTACAATGGCTCATGCTTGTAGTCCTAGCATTTTGGGAGGCTAAGGTGGGGGAAAGCAAGTCCCCTGTCTCCACAAAAAATAAAAATTTAAAAAAGGAGCCAGGTATGGTGGCATGTACCTGTAGTCCTAGAGACTTGAGAGGCTGAATGGGATGATCACTTGAGCCTGGGAATTGGAGGCTGCAGTGAGCTATGATTGTGCTACTGCACTCCAACCTAGGCAACACAGTGAGACCCTGTCTCTTAAAAAAATGCAGGAAAGGCAGAATACTGTGATTCTAATGCTTAATTATATGTGTAAATATTAGGTAAATATAAATCAAATGAACGAAATAGGTATTATTATACTAGAGAACAATTTTTGAGTAAAATCCTAGAGTTTACATTGTAGAATCTTTTCAGGATAAAAAGTTAACTGTTTTATTATAGCTCTTGTAACTCATCTAAGCAGTAGATTTTTTTTTATCTGGGTGAAGAAAAAGGGCAAGAGATGTAAGCATTGAGAGCATGGCATTTCTAGCTCCCAGTGCCACATAGCTGAGGGAGCAGAATGACATCTCATCCACTTTCATTTTTGTAGGTTACACACCACCCCCCTCCCACCTTGCTGCAAAAGGGGTAATACCTACAGCTGAGTGACCTCCCGGATCCTCTGAACACCATGGACTTAATTTTCAGCTGCAGAAGGGGAGGAAGGGAGCTCACTACATTACATTCTCTTGGCATTGTGACTATGAGAAGCAGAAAGTAGAGAAAGTATCGAATGCTTAGGGATGGCCTTGGGTCTTAGAGATGTGTAACTAGATATTTGGAAAAATTATTTTCTAATTCTGGATTTGTACATATGGCAGCACAATTTTGCAAAACAAAATTGAGTTAACTGAGAAATCATAATGAAAGCAAAGTAAATGTTATTTACTTTGTAGAAATTAGTTTTTTCCATGTATTTTGAGCATCTCTATACAAGGTGCTTTTTGAATCACTAAAATATAGTCTGAGGCTAATTTTTTGTGGGCAGAATGCATCTGTTTATGTATATAGATGCCTTGAAATACTAACCTCTATTACCAAAGGAGATAAGAAAAATAAGGTTCTAAGAATTAGCTAATTGACTTGGCCTTGTAGTCAGAGTTTGACCAGTTGTGGAAAAGGTTAGCAGTATTGTGAAGTGTTAAGCACACAACACACACTGACAAATGTGATCACAGAACTCAAAATCATGTTTACATTCAATTTTTCTTGATTGTGTGATTTTGTTGTTTTGAGTGAGCACTTGAATGGTCACTGATTCTTTTTTCAGATATCAGTGAAATATCAGTGGAATTGTAAACAGGCAAGTTAAAAACTTAGATATTCCGGTTTTTTAATAACTACTTTTAAATTCATATGCTTATTTTATGCATGCTTCAATTACTTTGCCCAACAAATAGCCTAAAAATGACTTAACTAAGAGGGTAGAATAGAAGCCTGAAATTGGAAATTGCTAAGGTGCACCTGTCATATGTCATTGTGAAGAGCATGGACTCCTCAGCTCTCAGCTGTGTTCCTCACTTGCTCCAGAACCTTGGTTAAGTTAATGTTGGAGACTCACGTTTCTCCTGTCTAAAATGGTGACAGGAATAGTACTTATTCTCTTGAGATTGTTGAAAGGATTACATGAGAGATATATAAAAAACAATGCATGCTATAAAAATATAGTGTTTAATAAATAACTGCTACTATTGTTATTTTATTTTTAATTCCTCAAGTTATTCAATTGATTCTACCAATAGTTATACTTCTTATCAACTTTTATTATAGTGGGAATGAAACATTTCACTGCTTCAGAGTTTGTGAAACCTTACATTTAGGCTGCCTTTCACCAGTCCAAGAAAGGGCTTGTGAGTAAATTACCTGCATAAAACAATGCGAGGGACTTAAAAAAAGAAAACACATTAAGGGAAAGCTCTTTTCATTCATTCACAAAAAAGAATTAACATGTTTATTACCAATATTATCCATTAAATCCCCAAGGAGTGGTGTAAGAATATTCTGGGTCTGGTATGGTAGCTTATGCCTATGATCTTAACACTCTGGGAAGCCAAGGCTGGAGGATAGCTTGAGCTCAGGAATTCGAGACCAGCTATCTCTACTAAAAACAGAAAAAGTTTAGCCGGGTGTGTTGGCACGTATCTTAGTTAGTACAAGCTACTCAGGAGGCTGAGGCAGGAGGATTGCTTGAGCCCAGGAGTTTTGCAGTGAGCTGTGATGTTGCCACTTCGCTGTACTTGGGGCAGCTGAACAAGATTCTCTCCAAAAAAGAAAAAAAAGAGAGAATAAAATATTCTGTGAATTTAGCTCTGCCTACTGTTTATATTTAGAAAAATAAAACAATATATATTTGAAAAATTAATTCACATTGTTTATAATTCCAGTGATTTTTTTTTTCAGAGAAATAGGTATAATCACGGAGTTTTTTTCCCCCCTTTAACTTTAAGGAGGAGATCTTGAGAAAATATATTATTTAATTAAGTAATTCAGTGAATTTACCATCTGTCCAACAACTTTTAGAGTTTGAGTATACATGCAGAGGAAACTAATATTAATACTATTTTATGAGAAAGTGTACCCAGGTAAATGCTATGGAGTAGTGATTATTTTCTGTCTTGGCCACTGTTACAACCCTCCTCTCTTCTTTTTGTTAGTGTGGGTTAAGTTTAACAGTTGTACCAAAAACTCTGAACATTTTGTGAGGTCTTGGTGTGATGTGTTTACCATCAGTCTACCCTCAGATTGACCCGAGTGTCCTTTTAGAGGGGTTGCATCAGGGTCTTCTGGCTGAGTAGATTTTACCAGTATAAATGTCCATGAGAGCGAGGGAGGAACACAAAGATGGGCTAATAGTAATGACTATAGGTCATTACCTTGATGTAATTAATTAGTTTTGAGGATCTGTTGATTGCAAGGAGTCCCATTCAGAACCCTTCTACTGAGGTGTGACACTTGGTGGAAGAGTAAGGCTGGAACAGCAGTCCAGTTTCATTGGCATGCTAATGGTAGCAGTCATGGATATGTGTGTAGAAGTTCATGCCCAGTCATTATTGCAGTGGAAACAGTGTAGCCACAGTTGAACCCCTCACTGCCTATTGGATGATGAAGAGAACCATGATTTAGGATTGTGGAAGGGGAATGTGAGTGAGGGCAAGGTTGGGGATATTACTGTGGGTGGCATGTTTTGCTTTGTGTTAAAGAAATATGTGCAGATTTTAGCCTTGCTTAGGGGGCAGATACTTGTCAGAGAGCAGGGCCTGGAGTTAGGAGCTGAACTTCCTCAGCACCCACTAGTTAGAGGGAATGGGGCTCTGCTGCCAGCGTACTTTTTGGGGCCAGCTGGGTCTTGAAATCCTATCTTAGGAAGCTAAAAGTTGTCTCCAATGGCTAGGTTTATCTTTGCGTGTTGTGGACCAGGTCAAGTTTTAGGAATAATTCAGAAGTTTTTCTTTGGGCTAATTGTATGATAGGGGGAAGCCCACTTGGTCTGTATCATGGGTGTCTTCTAGATCCAGGGGTATGTCTATCATTTCTACTATATAAATTTCCCAGCCTTGGGCAGCTGGGCATATTGCCTTCTAATTTCGTTTATTCGTTCCAGTGGTTGTCTTCATTGGGATGCAGATGAAAGAGATAACTTTGAAAGAAAATGTATACTCCTCTAATGTAGATGTCTTTTTTAAAAATAGATAATACACAAGTTACAGAAGAGGGAAATATCAGAGCAGTATAGTTAAAGTGCTAGTCTTTTCTGTCTATTTAAGGTGATGCCTGATATTGTCATGTTACAGAGGCGGATGCCCCAAACCTTCCGTGACCCTGCAACTGCTCCCCTGAGAAAACTTTCTGTTGACTTGATCAAAACATATAAGCATATTAATGAGGTAAGACTTGATTTGTTATAATAGCTTCTATCTTGTAATATATCAGGGGGCAAAAGTTCTTTTGTGACATAGTTAAACATCTTAAACTTTCCCCCCCCAATGATTGTTATATTGGTGGTTATTATGAATAAGTTAATGATTTAGAGATAATATAATTACAACTATGTAAAAGAAAAGCTACATTAGTAAGAACTGCAAAGTATAAAGGTAATTGTGGTTAACTCCTTTTTTTGTTATTTAATATGCTAAGTTATTTTTATAATAACTCTTACCCAAAATTAAAAAGAGGGGGAATGACTCTTTAAAAGTATATATATGTTAGAATTTTGCTTAAATTTTTTTATATGTTTCTTCCTTCGCTGTGGGTGTCAGGAAGCTCTAAGATATATTTAATACCCAGCTTTACATGCATTTGGCCTATTTGATCTATCTATATTTCTGTGATTTTTATTGTCTGTTAAATTTTATGTGTGTTCTTTTATCTATATCTTTTCATGATAAGCTATCCAAAAACTTTTTTTGGTAGAAGTAAATAAGATGAAAAATATACATAGTGCTTCAAATTAATTGTCTTATAACTTGGCACTTTGACACTAAAACTGATTTTTCTGGTGTCTTGGACCTTTGGGTTGATTGCCATTTGCTTCTGGCCTCAACTCCCACTCCATGATTAATTAGTAAATGAGCTTTTCTAGAAAAGAGTAGAAGAGCCCTTGCTTTCTTTTCTCTTCCAATGGGAGCCTGCATCCTTTCACATTAAAGCCTTATCCTCTGCCAACTTTAGAGCTACTTAACTCAAAAGAAGTTCCTAGGTACATGTGAATCTTATAGCAGTTCAACATTTAATGCCAGTGTCACTATATTACTGTGGAAATGTGGCAACATAAAATTAGAATTAACTCAATGAGAAACATTTCTGAGTTAGATTTTGTACTGTTATATATTATGAAAGATGTTCCAGAATAGCTTGTGATTATCTGAAAATGTCGGATAAATTGTTGCAGTGTATTAATATCAATTTGTTACTATCTGATAAATTGTTGTTAACAAAGCCATATTAAAAACTGGTTAAAAATAGCTTGTTGAAACTTGTTTTTAAATGTCTTGCCACCTTGTAAACTAGACTTTTTCTGATGTTATTCTATGCACTGTAATACATAGTTTCCTCAAAGTTAGTTACCAGTTACTTTGACTGTTGCATGGTTCACCTATGAACTTTTTTTTTAAGTAGCCTTAGAAACTGTCATAAGAAAAACAGGTATAAGGAAAATAACTTGGTCTGTGACCCCAAGGCTTATGGTCTTGGGTGAGAGTGGAATGGGCATGGCTGTTTTTCATTAGTTTTTATATTTTAATAGGCTTAAAAAGTGGGCATATCTGTGAGGACCTTTTGGCAAAACATCATTTCATGTACATTTAAACTTATTTTAAATTATTTTGCCATATTCAGGAATAACAAGATCCCAATAAAAAAAAAAAAGAAAAAAAATTATTTTGCCATAAGATCAAATATAAAGTTGGGATTGACTAGAGAGGGACATGAAGGAACTTGAACTTGAGGGGAATGAAAATGTTATTATTTTGTTTGACATTTATTCATTATATTAGCGTATACATTTGTCAGAATTCCTCATGTTGTACTCTTGAAGTCTGTGCCCAACTCACTGTATATAAATTATATCTTGATTTAACAAATAAATGTAGACCAGGCCATTTTACTCTATTGAATGCGATATAGGATACTTTGGACAAGTCACTTAATGTCTCCTGTTTATAAGATGTATAAACAGTATAACTATAAAGTGAATTTCACATTTTTTCATTGGTCATATCAGGGTTATTTTCTAACTCAAATATTGACTATAGAAAATTCTTCATTTTTTAATTCTTGTTAGCAAGAATTAAAATTCATCAGTTTTCTACTGATAGATTTATCTCAATGTCCTCTTGATATATGCCCTCCCCCTCATATAATGATTTAAATTGTACAGTTAACACTTTATGTTCTCATTTCAGGTTTACTATGCAAAAAAGAAGCGAAGACACCAGCAGGGCCAGGGAGACGATTCTAGTCATAAGAAGGAGCGGAAGGTTTACAATGATGGTTATGATGACGATAACTATGATTATATTGTAAAAAACGGAGAAAAGTGGATGGATCGATACGAAATTGACTCCTTGATAGGCAAAGGTTCCTTTGGACAGGTAATTTAATGTACAATACCGAATTTCGTTAATTAGAAAGAATTTCTAAAGTGAATCATGTTGTTAAATTCTTTCCTTGGTGGTACACTTTTAATATTTATAAATAAATCTAAACAAATGAATATGTAATATATGGATTGTTATAGTTCCCAAAGATGGTAAAACTATCAGTTATAAAAACTCCATTAAGCCAGGTTCCAGCTACTCAGGAGGCTAAGGCAGAAAGGATTGCTTAAGGCACTACTTTGAGGCTGCAGTGAGCTAGGATTGCACAGCGGGAATAGCCGTTACCCTCCAGCCTGGGCAACATAGTGATACTCTGTCTCCATAAAAAACAAACACAACCTGTTTGACTTTTGATTTTTAAACTTTTTATGGCTACCAAGTACTTATTTTAGTAATGCCTAAGTGGTTAATTTTAATCACTAATAGGTAGTATTGCCTCTTTCATAGGGCTTTATGTAATCTAGGGATGATTCTTTATTATGTATGCTAGATATATTTACCTACCCTATTGACAGCTTCAAAGAGAAAAGAATTATCATCTTTAAGCCTCACAGCAGGTGCCCTCTCACTTTTCCAGAGGCTTAGAAAGTCTGGGTCTGTGCCCTGGATTTTTCTCCCAACTGATGTTCTAACTATGTCAGGACTTGAAGTGGGCAGATGGTCGGTCATTAGGATTCCTACTTCCAGGCCTCAGAGCACTGGGTAATTCTGATGGAAAGCACCATCGACCTTTTCTTCCATAAAGGGACTCCAGTGGAATTGGATTTTTCTCTTCATTCTTGGTCTCTTTTCTACACCCACAACTTTGCCCTCCCTGCCTGCTCAAATACCCCCATTACAAAGTACAAAGCCCTAAAAATGTTCGTCTCTTGTATTAGTCATATGCAGACCAAGAGCTCTCAGTCATTCCTCCTCATACTTTTAAAAAGCCTTTTCTCTGGCTGTGGTTCCCCTAGCTGTTCCCACTCGGTAAATCCTCCTCTCTCCTCAAATCACAGAGCTGTTCTTTTGTTTGAGGTATGATTTACTCTTAATCCCAGTCTCCTCTGCCTTGCAACCCTTATGGAGTAAGTGAGTTATTAACCTGAAGTCCAAATACTTCTTTTGACTTTTCAGTGATGAGGATAGAATGGGAGTCAAAATGACTTTTTCTGAATTACCCCCCCCTTTTGTTTGTTTTTTAACCTCTGGAACCTGCATGTGCTTAATTCCTTCTCTGTTCCTGCCACAGAGACAGCAAAAGATGCCCCCTTTTCAGACTATGAGGGAAATTCGTCTTGTGTTAAATTTGATCATGCTTAGGACAAAAAGTACACTATAGGCCATTAGCAGCCACACGTCCAAACCCAGAAAGATCTAAGCTGTTAAACATGTAAGCAAGTATGAACTAGTGCATTAAAAGACCTTTGTAACTACTGTCCTGCCCTGCCAGGCCCTGGTGTCACATGTATGACATGTCTCCTCCGTCCCATGATTAGAAGGCATTTTGATAATTATACATAATCCAGAGGGTTTTTCAGGGTTTGGGGAGTCCCTCTTAATGAAAGTATTCTTGTTTTGTCAGAAGCAGTTTCTGACAAAGCTTCTTAAGGACAAATGGCATTTCTAAGGCACAGCTTTTAACCAAGGCTATGAACATCCTCGATCTGGGGATTGCTTGTTCCACCTTGAAAATTGCACCAACATTTGGGTAGTTGCTCTCAGTAAGACATTTTTCTAACTTTTGTGACATCCACCATGAAAATTGGGGCCACACAGCCTGTTCTCGAGCATAAAGCCTCGTCTTTATGCTCACAGTTATATATTACTCCTCCTCTTCACCTCAGGATTGTGTACCTTAATTCCACCAAACAGGTGAGCATAGTAATAAACCTGTGAAAATAATAGGCCTATTTGACATTGAACTCCTTTTTACCAAGTCAAACTGATACTTCCCTCCTGGGCTGAGGTGTTATGCAGTGTCCATGTCCATGTTCAGGTTCAGGGTCTATCACTCACCAGAATAACATCTTCCATATTGATTTGGTCACACTTTCTCTGAATTCTCTGCCAGGGTTTTGCCAAGTAAGGGATGTCTCTATTTCTTCAGCCAATAGTGATCAATCCTGCTCATTAAATTTCCTGGGGAGCTTTTTTTTTTTAAAAAAAAAGGACTAATGCCTAGGCTCCAAACCAGTTAAATTCTGGGCATTGATATTTTTAAAAACTCTCTATTGAATTTGTAATTCAGGATAAAAAACCACTGCCTTAGCATTTAGCCAGTTAACTATTTGCCAAGTCAGTAAATACTTGGGCCCCTGTGAGTGGCCTTTGTCCTGGAGACCATCGGGATTTGGGCACTAAACTGCAACTCTTGGTACAGTCAGTATATTCAGTGAAACAGAAGAATGTCAAAAACATTTGTCAGATGTTTACATGAGCAGCCTCTAATATAAAAGACAACAGATAATATCAGAATTGGGTGAAACCAAAGATACTGCATTTTTCATTCCAAGTTTGATTTCAGTTCAACCCTTTATAATCTGTCATTCACAGCATATTTAGCTTTGGCTGATGCAGACCTTGAAACATATATTCCATCCTCTTCCTCTAATCTAATGGTTTTCATCCTACACATTGGAATCATTTGGAGTTCCACCCCTATCCCCAGACTTTTTAATAGTATGAAACTTACTTTAAATTAGCAAAATTTAAAATAAGAGACGTCATGCTGATGTGTACTAATGAACACCCTATTTTCCTTAGCAGTGATTCTCATTTTAAAACTATCATAATCCCCTAATTATGGCAGTGAACTTACATTTACCAGGAAAGTGGAACTTCCCTGGTAATTTGTAATTGATTTTTTTAAGTGTAAACTAATTTTTCTTTTATATACTTACGTTTTTATGTATGAAAATGTAATTGAAAGTTACCTGCTTTCTGAGAGGAATTAGAAACTTAAATATTTCACGTATATCTTAGGATTTAAAACAGGTTTTTCTCTCATTAAAAGAATAATTGGATGAATTGTTTTATAATGTTATTTAATAAGAAAGAAAAAACCAAAGCAGTTGTCAAGATTCATAGTTTATTTATGAAGGAGGAAAACAGTTAATCTAATTTTGTTAAGAAACATGTCTATGGCCGTACCACCCTGAACACACCCAATCTCGTCTGATCTTGGAAGCAAAGCAGGGTCGGGCCTGGTTAGTACTTGGATGGGAGAAAGTTATCAATTTTGTGGATTTTTAAAATATCATAAGTATGTAAAAAAGAAACTCAATTTGAAAGATTGACTTAAAGGTACTGTGTAATACACGGATGATACGTTGAATAAAAACAATCTTTTTTACTTAGGAAGAGCAGAAAAATGAGAATTAGGAAACTATACAATTAAATGAAAATTAGGTAAATGAACAATTAAGGTGAATTGTAAACTGTTGAGAAATTGTTGCCATTAATGAAATAGAGAATTATTCATCTTTTTTCTCTTTTAGGTTGTAAAGGCATATGATCGTGTGGAGCAAGAATGGGTTGCTATTAAAATAATAAAGAACAAGAAGGCTTTTCTGAATCAAGCCCAGATAGAAGTGCGACTTCTTGAGCTCATGAACAAACATGACACTGAAATGAAATACTACATAGGTAAACAAACAGGCAAACAATGCAATGCCCCCCTGCCTCAGACCAGAAACTTGAGTTAATGGTTATTTTTATATAGAAATATGTTGATTTTATTTTAAAGTGGCTGATTGAAAATTTTTTGAATAGTGTAGATTTATATAAGTTACTTGATCTGATAGTAATATTCTCAGTCTTTAGGAATGTGCATTTCAGGTGGCATGGAATAGAGAAACAAGTGAGAGAACAGTGTCCCCCACGACCCCCCAACTCAGTGGTGCCATTTGTTTGCTTTAATGATGCATATTTATCCAGAGTAATCTTTCTGGCGACTTCAACCATTTCTAATCTAACTCAGAAGCTACATGTAAGTTAATGCATTATGAATGGTTGTACAACCATTTTTGTAGTGTCTAAACCAAGATGATGCTCTTCCCCAGTCTGTTGGTGAGTTTGGCAACATCAGAAGCTATTAGAGTCCGGGTGTGGTGGCCGCTCCTGTAATCCTAGCACTCTGGGAGGCTGAGGCAGGTGGATTGCTCAAGGTCAGGAGTTCAAAACCAGCCTGAGTGAGACCCCATCTCTACTAAAAATAAAAAGAAATTAATTGACCAACTGAAAATACATATACAAAAATTAGCTGTGCATGGTGGTGCATGTCTGTAGTCCCAGCTACTCAGGAGGCTGAGGCAGTAGGATCACTTGAGCCCAGGAGATTGAGGTTGCTGTGAGCTAGGCTAATGCCATGGCACACACTTTAGCCTGGGCAACAAAGTGAGACTCTGTCTCAAAAATAAATAAATAAATAAATAAATAAATAAATAAATAAATAAATAAATAAATAAATAAAATTAAAAAAAGAAGCTGTTAGACTTACTGCGACAGAAAAGTGGTACTGAAGTCATGCCATATTCTTTGTGCTTTCTGTTCAACATCTGTAATAATCATAGCTATCCTATAAGGAAGATGGCAGAATGCTTAAATAACAGACAGTTTGTACAAGGAGAGTAGCATACCCAAGGTCACAGGCTTTGGAGCTAGGAACTGAGCCTACCTTAGCCTAACTCCAAAGCTCATACTTGTTTCATATGTCACACCATCTTACTTCTGAAAATAAAACAGAGACAGAAGAATTGTGAATACTGAAGTCTAAGGCCAGTTGATCCATGGATGAAACATCTTCTGATTATACCTTCTTTCGTACTATTTTTAATTAAATCCGAGATGTCAGTGATTGTAAGACACCATTGTTTTATGTACCATCAAGAAAAAAATTATTGCCAAGTATATATATAAGATGCCATTAATTTTAGGACGTAAACCTTAAGATCCATAAGTTACAGAAATGCCTATAGGCACAGATACATATAACTCATATTCAGAAATGCTAGCCTTACCTAATAAATGTATAGTTAAACTTTATTTAATATACTGCTTTTGAGAAACAGGAGATTACATTATGTTCTTTAGTCCCCTCAAAATGGTAGAAGCAAATAATGAACAATGGGGTAAGCTTCAGATTAGATTTCCTCTATGAAATACCCCTCGTTTCCTGTTGTTACAATGAAATGAACTTGTACTATTAATTTTTCTTCCTTAGTTTCTTCTCTGTAGATAATCTGATATAATCCATAATAACATTTATATCTTAAAACCTTTCTCATCACACTCATTGATATTTTGCTGTTCACTGTCAGTTATAACTTACATAGGTGGACCCATTTCCATTCAATGGTTTTAGAAACGAAATAGGGACAATTGTAAGGATGTTTGACTTTCGAAGTCATCTCTGGACATGCCTCCCCCTCTTCCTCCTTGCTATTGTTTGTTGTATTTTGAGTGTTTACTTAAGTAGCAGAGGAAGTGTTGATAGCATTGCTGTAACACTTTAATTCTGCCTTATTGAAAGATGATATGGCTGGCATATAGTAAGTACTCAAAAAATATTAGCTACTCAGTTGTATATAATAATGGCTATCATTTTTGTTTTGAATAAAGTGATTTTAATGATCACTTTGTTAATTGCATTAGTCATTACAGATACTCTTTTGGATAAGTGGGTTTTTAAAAAGTTTTTATTTAGCCGGGCGTGGTGGCTCACGCCTATAATCCTAGCACTCTGGGAGGCTGAAGCGGGAGGATTGCTCGAGGTCTGGAGTTCGAAACCACCCTGAGCGAGACCCTGTCTCTACTAAAAAATAGAAAGAAATTAATTGACCAACTAAAAATATATATACAAAAAATTAGCCGGGCATGGTGGCGCATGCCTGTAGTCCCAGCTACTTGGGAGGCAGAGGCAGGAGGATCACTTGAGCCCAGGAGTTTGAGGCTGCTGTGAGCTAGGCTGACACCATGGCACTCACTCTAGCCTGGTCAACAGAGTGAGACTCTGTCTCAAAAAAAAAAAAAAAAAAAAGTTTTTATTTAAGATGGTAAATTCATAGTGTCTCAAGAAACTGGTCCTATTTTAGAAATTTTAAAAAAAGAACTTTAGACAAGGCCATGTCAGTTGACTTAATGCTTTAAATTTAAGGTGTCTGAAAGTTGCATTGCTTTTTATGATGCAAATAATTTATTTTAATTTTAAAATGATCAATGAGTAAAATTTGTTCTAAGTTTTATTAAGTCCTTCAACTTGAAAAAATATTTACTTCTTTACCATATAGAATAATTTCTTATCTGGATTATTTAGTACCTGCCATGGTCTAGTTAAAAGAAAATTCAGTTTAGGTCTGCTACAAAGTTCTGCCAACCCTCTGTTCTCCCCAAAATCAATTTAAAAAGACTGAACAAATATGCTCATGTATGAGCTTTTCTTTGACACTGTCTTTAGTGCTTAGCACATTGTAGATACTAAGTAAATGAATAATGAATCATGAGGTCAGGTGAAACTGAGTGGATTGATCCTTCATTGGAAGAACATTCTAATCACAAAGTTTCTTAAAGGAATTTTTATAATCACATTGGAATTCTGACATGAGTTTACTTTTTGCATTCCTTTTCTGGCTACTGCTTAACCAGGAGGTTATAACCCATGCCTGGACCATATCTGTGAGGTATCATGGAACTATGTTTTTAGTTTTAAACCTGTGAACTGAAGTGATTAAGAGTAGATATTATGCATTATGTAACCTTTTAATTATTCTTTTTATTATTTGCAGTGTCAAATAGTGCTGTGGACTCCTATTATATATAGCCATGGAGTTATTTTTATTGTGCTGCTTATTCTAACTTTAGATCACCTGTATCATGAATGATCTAAAAGCAGTATTGATGTGCACTGCTTCAAACCAGGGCTACCACCAGGAAAATGCAATGTAACCACAGTTCTTAGTGACCAGATATTGAATACTATCAGTTATTCCAGTTAGATTTGTAGAGAAACCTCTAGTTTTGTGATACTAAAAGATCAAAATGAAGGTAACCTTGGTAGATGCCTGTTTTGTGTCATTCCATTTGAGTTACAAGTGCTGAATGTGGTATATGTAAGAATGTTTATAGTGAAGAGCAGCACTTTATTGAACGACCTCGCCTGATGTGAAGTCAGTGTTAATACTTAAAGCATAATCTTTGAAGCAATTTAGTGAATATTCAGCCTTTTTAGAGGGTCAGCAGTGATAGCAAGTCATGTATTCTCTACTGCTTCCCCATTTATAGGCCTACAAATTATTTCTTCTTGTGGTTGAGCTTTATTTTGAATTTTTCCCAAACCTTCAGTCTTATACAAGATTTCCCATTTTTCCATTTCCCACAAGATTTCCCAATTCCTTGATTATGTACTCCTATACTTTACAAAGCCTGATTTTCAGACATTTACTGTATTTGCCTAAAAGAAAAAAAACCAAACAACTCTGGTAACTGTTAGTGAAATCTGAGGCCCAGCAACCGATATTATGTGTTTATATATGAAAGCCTACACAGAGAGGGCTGCCAAGTGGAGAGCATAGAGCATTGTCATAAACCAGAGATCTCAGTAGGTGCAGCTTAGATATATGACATTGTTGAGGGAGGGTTCTCAGGAAGTAAAAAGTGTTTTCTTTTATAAATGTAGATAAAGATGCTAAAGTATCTTTAGTACTGTTTGTCAATTTGCCACTTGTGTTTTCAGACCCGACTTAAAAAAACAAAACAAAACAAGGTATTTTCATGGTACTTCTTACCTTATATCACTTATTGACGGTATACCTGTTTAATTCAGTAAAAACTGGACTGTTACTTCAGAATGCTGATCTTCAAACTTTAGCTTCATTTTCACTCTGCATTTTGACATTGTAATGTTATAGATTAAGAGTGTGTATGTTACTCTCATTTTATTGATATAATTTAAAATAAAACTTTTTTCTCTTTCAGTGCATTTGAAACGCCACTTTATGTTTCGAAACCATCTCTGTTTAGTTTTTGAAATGCTGTCCTACAACCTCTATGATTTGTTGAGGAACACCAATTTCCGAGGGGTCTCTTTGAACCTAACACGAAAGTTTGCGCAACAGATGTGTACTGCACTGCTTTTCCTTGCGACTCCAGAACTTAGTATCATTCACTGTGACCTAAAACCTGAGAATATCCTTCTTTGTAACCCCAAACGCAGTGCAATCAAGATCGTTGACTTTGGCAGTTCTTGTCAATTGGGGCAGAGGGTAAGCATTATTTTAGAACTTGTGAATTAAATTGAATTAAGTGAAACATTATGATATTTGATATGTTATCAATGTGTACATACAGTTTGGAGGCAATAACAGGATGGTTATTTCTTAAACATAACACTTGAATCACCTTGTGTTTGGGGGAAGTACATTTTAAAATGAAAATAGCAAAACTTTGAATTAAAACATAATGATATTTTCAAAATGGATACATTTAAAATTATGTGTGTGCTAAAATTGAGAGAGAATAGAAAATGAAAGAATTAAATATTAGGTGATTTGTAACTATATTTCTCAAATTGAGATTTTAGTATAAATTTTAAGACTTTCTATGGCTGGGCGTGGTAGCTCAGGCCTGTAATCCTAGCACTCTGGAAGGCCAAGGTGGGCAGATCACTCAAGGTCAGGAGTTCAAAACCAGCCTGAGCAAGAGCGAGACCCCGTCTCTACTATAAATACAAAGAAATTAATTGGCCAACTAATATATGTAGAAAAACTCAGCCAGTCATGGTGGCGCTTGCCTATAGTCCCAGCTACTCAGGAGGCTGAGGCAGTAGGATTGCTTGAGCCCAGGAGTTTGAGATTGCTGTGAGCTAGGCTGATGCCATGGCACTCACTCTAGCCTGGGCAGCAAAGCGAGACTCTGACTTAAAAAATAAATAAAGTATATTATGAATGGAAAATACATGCCTATCTTGAGAGTAATTTGAATGGATTTAGACTTGAGAATTTTTTCCCCCTGTTTAAATCAAGTCATATATTCTGTCCTAATATCAAATACTGTTTTCTGTGTCCAGCCAAACTGAGACAACTATCCCTTTAGCTCAGTAAGTTTTTAACTATTCGGGTTGATCAGAATCACGTGAGAAGTTATTTCCAAAATATACATGCATTGACCCCTGCCCCTAGATCTACTGGATCAGATCAGAAGGTGGCAGGGCAAGTGTGAGATGACAAAGCCACTGCTTTAACCAGACTAGATAGGAAGGTGACGAACTTTCTGGCATAAACTGTGAAATATCACAGTCTTAGTAATAGGGAGGCTTTTGGACCTGGAGAATTAACTGGGGTATTGGCTTACGAAAACTTGGAAATGGTAGTACTTCTTCCTGGTTCTTTCTAATTAGTCTTTCTTCTCATGTGCGTTACGGTTGGGCTGACCTGCCTGTGAAGGCCTAAGTTTGTTTTTGAAGACTTTGCTGGAAGTTCCAGTGGGAGCCATGGATTTCATGAACTTATATGGCAGCATGGTTTGAGTGTTAAGTTAAAAAGTTTAGTTAGGATTTTGTTTGTTTCTCTCTTTTAATAAGTTTCTTTGCTTTAATGGTATTTCTAGAAACAAATTTACAATGGCTAAGGGAAACTAATTGGTTTCTGAAGACATTCTCAGATTACTTCATTGAAAATAGTTCATTTCAAGATTTTCTTTCTCTGAGAAGTCTTGGATACGGGTTTCTTGGGTCTGATGTACAGTGTGAATAAATGCTTGCAACTTTTAGCCCTTTTTTGATCAATGAAGCACTTTTTAAATATTTTCCTTTGTATGTAAAGGAGGAACCGTAACTCTCCGTAGCTGTACATATAACCCTTTTCTCCTAAAGAGGAGTCAGTCATTGCTCCTATATTTTTTATTTTTTGTCAAAGCAAGAAGTAAATACTTTAGAATTGTTAAATATATAAATAAAGTGAATAAAGTTGAGTGTTCCGCATGGTAAAAAAAAAAAAAAATAGTGGAGAGGGCAGGATGGAGAAGAAATGATTAGTCAGAAAAGACCAGTTGAATCTTTATATGGCCGTGTGTTTTGAATTTATGAGACAGTGGAGTACAAATGGTCTGAATTTTAAATTACATTGTACTGAGGTTATTTGATTCTCAATGCTGAAATACATTATTTAGGTTAATTTAAATACAGTTTAGCTGTTAATGGTAAATCAAATGCCAGCCATAGCAAGAAGGAATAATTAATTGAGGAATAAGTTTTCAATAATCTTTTCTAATAAGGTATAATTGTTTTAAGATATATATTTATTTTAATTTAGAAAGGAGAGCTTTATTTCTCATAAAGGGTTGCAGCTTGTGAGTGGCCATTCCAGCAGGCTGGACTTGTTTTAAGATATATCTCGATTATCAGTCAAGACTGGACTAAATGAAAGGGCTTGAATTTTTATATATTATGTATTTCGTAGCCAGATTAACCAATCCCTTGAAATGTTTACTAGTTCTTTAATTAGTATTCAGTCTAATGTCAAAATGAGTAAATGGAACCCTAATCCAGGAATTAGCCAATTCTTTTTGTTGTTGTTAGTATCAGATCAATGTTCTTAACCCTGTGTTGACCAAAATTATAAGCAAAACTTATATTCAATTAATACTATTTTGAAATACATTTCAGATATACCAGTATATTCAGAGTCGCTTTTATCGGTCTCCAGAGGTGCTACTGGGAATGCCTTATGACCTTGCCATCGACATGTGGTCCCTTGGGTGTATTTTGGTTGAAATGCACACTGGAGAACCTCTGTTCAGTGGTGCCAATGAGGTAAATGATATATTGCTTTAAAAACTGTTTTTGTTTTTATAATTTTTTTCTGCTTTTCATCTATGACAGTATAATCTGAAAGTTGTTTTTAGGGAAAGATGTCTATTTAGAAGCTTAATCATTCAAGTGTTAGGCCAGTTTTGAACTTACTTTATGTTGCCCATTTTTCATGTTTGTCAGTTGTCATAATGGTGAGTTTAGAATTATGAGATGGGAAGTAAGATATTTTCATTCCCCTAGTGAAGAACAATTAGACTGGAAAGTTTTAAGTATTTGTTATAAATTTTATAGGGTTTAAATATAATAACAGAAAGCTTAAAGATGATAATGAAGGAATGAGAGCCACCCTGGAAAATTATCTAAACATTGCTATACATTTTGAGAAAGTAATGACCAATAAGATTGATGGATACTCAATAGGAAGATTCAAAGTAAACTAGGATTATAGAATTTTAGGGCTACAGAGATTGTGTGCAATTCTGTAGTCCACGGGTTTTCAGTCAATTATTAGGGCATTTTGAAGTCAGGCAAGGAAGAGGCCAAACTGCCCTGCAGTCTGAGAAATCGGGTTTTTATTTGTTGTAAAACTATTCGCTTGTGGGGTTTTGTTTGTTTTAAAAGAAAATTTAACCATTGCAGATCTTGATCAGTCTATTCATTAATAAATGAGAAAAGAAAAGCCAGAGATGTTTAATGACTTGTAGGATTATGCAGCTGTTATTAGGTGGTCTCAGATACTTGTCACTTCCACCCTTTTAATTCATTTCAACTTCAGCTAGTGAGCTACTCTTTGGTAACAACTGCTGTAGTATTTGTTTTTGTTTTTATAATAAATATTATTACCCCATAAATTAGTATCTTTCTTGGGCTTAAACAATATTAGGATCACCTGAAACTTTCAGTGGTTTCCCATCTCATTGTAAAAGCTGAAGTCCTTGGAGTAGCTCACAAATTTCTGCTGCCTTTGATGCCAGTTCTCTTTCCAACACCTGGTCTCTGCCTTGTTTCACCTCAATCAGTGATTCAGACACAGCCTTCTCTATGATCCCTTGAAAACACCAGCCATGGGCCCATACCAGGCCCTTTGCATTTGTTCTTTCCTGTACTTGAAATGCTCTTTTCCCTGCTAGCACTTGGCTCTTTCCTCACTGACCTGAAGTCTTTGTTCTAATGTCACCTTCCCAGTGAAACCTGTACACCCTATTTAGAGTTGCAATACCCTTCTCCCTTATCCCCTTTTAACTTTCTCCATAGTTCTTAGTCATCATGTGACATAACGTATTGTTTGTTTATTGTTGGTCTCTTCCCACTGTAACTTCTTTTTGAAAGAGATTTTCGTGTGTTTTTATTCCTATATTCTGCTACTGAGCAGACACACTCAGTATTTGAGTGAATGAATCTGCATTCTTATATTAAGCCTTTGAGGTTTTTTTAAATGGTTATTTAAAATTCTCCAAAAATTGAAACTTTACGACTTCCTCCCATCCTTTCTTATTGTTCACCATTGTATCCATGGCCCCCTGAGATACTATAGATTTATGTGTTTGTTAATTGTCTTCCCTTCTGAGGAATGTTTGGCTGCAGGAAGGCAGGGCCTTTCTCTCTTTTGTTCATTAGTGTATGCTCAGTGCCTAGAGGAGTGCCTGATTCATAGGAGATGTGAAACTTATTTATTTATGAATGAGTGAATTGGTGAGCAGAAGTAGGATGTACAGTAGAAATTAAAGGTTTTATTTTTGTTTTTATTTTTAATACAGGTAGATCAGATGAATAAGATAGTGGAAGTTCTGGGTATTCCACCTGCTCATATTCTTGACCAAGCACCAAAAGCAAGAAAGTTCTTTGAGAAGTTGCCAGATGGCACTTGGAACTTAAAGAAGACCAAAGATGGAAAACGGGTAAAATAGGGATACATTGTTTTGAGCCTGTGTTAGTTCTTTACCAGAGGTTTTTATAGCTCATTTTGTATTTACTTGAAATCAGTGTTAACAGTTATCAATTGCATTGATAATTCAGGTAGATATTTTATTCAAAAGCTGAATATAGGTTGACCTGAACAATTTGTATGGACCAGTGTTTCATTAATGGTCATTTTACAAACTGTATGCCTGCATTTTGAGACAGCTGATCAAATCACCATGCTTTGTTTCAACAGTAGAATCAATAAGTTTGACCTTTGTTTCTCACAGCTTGTGCATATAGTGAAGTCACAGTTAATAATACTGCAGCTGTGAACAGAAGTCACGATTGCAGTAAATGATTTTTTTAGTTCAGTTGGTGAAATATGTTAGAAGATTTGGGGCTTAAGCAATTTGTGATTTCTAAGGATATTAGCTGACTTAGATGGTCCTTTAGTAGAGTTCAGATTCATAGCTTACAGACCTGGCCAGCGGAAATTTCACATTCCACAATCTTTAAAAGTAAAGTTTTAAAAACATTAGATTTGTTTTAGTAATTTTCTTTTATCTGAGGACTTTCATCAGGTAATTAAACTATGTCAATTAATAGAGTAAATGATGGCAATTTTGCATCTTGATTTATACTTTTGTTTTATAGATCTATAAATCATATATTTTGTAATATAGTTTAGTCCTGGTATTAAGTGAATATAATGTATAAATATGTGATTGAATATGATATACACATACATATATACACAAGTCACCTTGTGATTGTAGTTTTGCATTTTTAACATTTAAGAGATGTTATTTTTGCTCCAGTTATTCTGCCCTTGCGTTTTGGTGATGCTGCCACCAGGTGTCATTTTCAGTGAACTGAAGATGATGGTTGCTTTAATTCATTTCCACATAGTTATTGAGTCTTAACTTTTAATATCAAGTGATTTTCTTTAGGAGATTTAAAATACATATGTAATTTTATCCTTTACAACTGATTTGTAACTTGTTGCACTCTGCCTTATTCTCTAAAGTTACAGGCAGTGCAATTTCCAGCTGCTAAATTATGCCTACTCCTTATAAGGAAGGGATGGAAAATACCAAGCAGACATCCTGAGTTCCTCGTCTACCTTTATCCACATAGCTTATTAATCATGGCTCCTCTTCCTACTGAACCAAAACATAGCCTGGGAATCCTTCTTAGCCTCACCAGCATTCAAGATAGCTTCTACCTTGAATTAGGTATAGGATGAATTAGGATGGAGGATGTGAAATTTTCTTAATAATGTTTTCTCTCTCTGCAATACAGCATGATACTTCTCTCTCCATTTTGGATTTATTTATTTGTTTGTTTTTTGCTTCTGTTATTTTTTTTATCTATTCCATTCCATTTCCCAAATTTTTGCCTTATAAAACCACAATTAAAGTATGAAGTAACTATTTCACTTTTAACAAACTGTGCAACAAAAAAACCCAATCCATAATTACATTATAACATTATGAAGGATACACTAGGAATTTTAGCCAGAGATTTAAATAGTTGTGCACACACTTCATTGGCTATTTTTGTGTAGTTGATTTGCTTAGTAATTTTACTTTTCTTTTTAATTTCTCATTTTATGTTTCAAAAGTCCATATGATAGGCAGATAATGAAACTAAAAAAAAAAAGAAAAAAAAGTCCATGAGAGTTTTCCAATAATGAAATCCATACCAAACTTTTCCCCCCTTTTTTTTTTTTTTTTTTGGTGGAGGAGGGGGATGAAAAAATAAGACAGTAAATGATGTTATTTTGTTGAAGGATAATTTATATACAATAAGATACATATTTTGGATGTTCAGTTTTTCCTGTTTTAACCTTTATACTGGAATGCATCCACTATCTAAAACAATATGGAATATTTCCATCATGCCCAAAGTCCTCTTTGTGACCTTCTCTGTCATCCCACCACTGCTTTCTGTCATCATAGGTTAGGCTTGTGTAGTAACAGGCAAACTTCACATAAATGAAATCTTATCGTATTATTTTGTTTGATTTCTCTCACTTAGCAAATATATTGTTTTTGGAGATTCCATTCATGTTGTATGTCTCAGGAGTTATTTTATTGTTTCATAGCATTTCATTGGATGAATATACTATAATTTCTATATTCACCTGTCAGGGGACATTTGAGTTGTTTCCAGTTTGGGACTACCAAGAATAAGATGGTTGGCAACATTCTTGTGTAAGTTTCTGTACATACACGTTTTCATTTCTCTGGCAGCACTACCAAAGAGGAGAATTGGCAGGTCATAGGGTGTATATGTATGTTTACCTTCACAAGAAAATACCAAACAGTTCTCCAAAGTTGTTTTATCATTTTATATTTCCGTGATATATCAGGATTCCAGTTGCATGACATCCTGACCATTTAATATGGTTGGTCTTTTGGATTTTAGCCATTCTAGGGAGTATGTGGTGGCTGTATTTGTATTTCTCCATAACTAATGATATTGACCACCTTTTCATGTACTTGTTAGCCATTCATCTGTCTTCTTTTGTTATAGGTCTTTCCACTCTTTGCTCACTTCTTATTGAGTTTAATCATTTGTCTTTAAATCCTTTGTCACATATCAATATTTTTTTCTCAGACTATGGTTTGCCTATTTCTTTTCTTAGTATGTTATCTTTTGATGAGCAGGAAATTTTAATATTAATATTTTAATATTTGTCAACTTTTAAAAAATAGATCATACATTTTGTATCCTAAGAAATCCTTGCCATCCCAAAGTTTGTGAAAATACTCTACTGTATTTTCTTCTAAAAGTGTTTTTGATTGTAGTTTCTATGGGTAGAATTCTATGGTCCATCTTCAATTAATTTTTGAGTATGGATAGGGTGAAGGGTTGAAGTTCATTTTCTTTCATATGCTTACCCTAGTAGTTGCAGCAGCATTTGTTGAAAACAGTAGTGTTACCCTATTGATCTGATTTGGCACTCTTGTCCAAAATGCATTCAACTTTCATGTGTCTACATTTGGGCTATATTCTTTTCCAAAGATCTTTCTGTCCTTAAACTGATAATATTTAATAGCACGATGTCGATTACTGTAGTAGCTTTATACTAAGTCTTAAACTCAAGAAGTGTAAGTTGTCTAGCTCTTTTCTTCTGTTTCAAAATTATTTTCTTTTCTAGTTTATTTCTATTTATATATGATTTTTAGAATCAGCTTGTAAATTTGTATCAAAAATTTGTGCTAGAATTTTGATTTAGTTTTATTCAGGAGAATGGACATCTTAATAATATTAAGTCTTCCAATCTATAAACATGGATTATTGCTCCATTTATTAGATCTTTTATTTCTCTCAGCAATATTTTATAGTTTTTAGTGCAGAAGTCTCACATATTTTGTTCACTCTATTTCAAAGTTTTTAATTTTTGGATGCCATTTTAAATGGTATCATTTTAAAAAATATAATTTCCTAATGTTTCGTTGCTGATGCATAGCAATTGATTTTTGTGTTCTACAACCTTGCTAAATTCACCTGTTCTAGTACAGTTGACCCTTGAACAAAATGGACTTGAACTGCATGGGTCCACTTATACATGGATTTTTAAAAATAAATACAATCAGCCCTTCGTATCTGAAGGTTACAAATCCCTACAATCAAACACAGATTGCAGTATTCAAGGCATAACAAACCCTATTCGAGGGATATGAAACCCATACAAGGAGGGCTGACTTTTCTTATTTACTAATTCAGTAGGGTTGACTATGGAACTTGAAGCATGCATGGATTTTGGTATACATGGAGTGTCCTCAACACAGTCCCCTGTGCATACCAAGGGCCAGCTGTGTGGTTTGAGATTCTTTATGGTTTTCTCATTACACATCTTATCCGCTATGGATGAAGACAGTTTTATTCTTTCCATTGTATATCTTTATTTATTTGTCTTGATCTATTATACTGTCTAGGACCCTCATGTGTTGAATAGTAATGTTGAGAACAGACTTATTTCCTTGTTCCTAATCTTACAGAAAAAGCATTCAGTTATCCAACATCAAGTATAATGTTAGTTGCACTTTTTTTTGGTAGATCCCTTTTATCAGGTTAAAGGAGCACTTTTCTTCATCCAGTGTTTTGAGTTTTTTTTTAATTATGAATGGGGTTTGAATATTGTCAGATGCTTTTCCTGCATCTATAGAGATGATTATATGATTTTTCTCATGTTAGATGATAGAATACATTAATTAATTTTTGGAATATTAAGCTCCAACCTATGGTAAACCAAACCTGGCCTTGATATACTATCATCTTATATATTGCTAAATTCAACTGGCTAATCTGTTGGTAAGGAATTTTGTTCAGTTTGTTTCTATATCACTAAATATTTCTCTAAGATCTGGTATCATCATTAAGGCTTTGATCTCAGGATTATGCTGGCTTCATAAAACTGTTGGAAAGTATTCTTGATTTTCTGAAAGAATTTGTATAAGATTGGTTAGTATTATTTCTTTTATAAATGTTTACTAGAGTTAATTGACGAAGCCATCAAAACCTGAGGTGTTCTTTATCAAAAGGTTATTAATTGTAATTCATGTTTTTTTGATAAAAATATGGTTATTCAGATTCTCTTTTTGAGTTAGTTTTAGTAAGTTGTATTTTTCTTTTCTTTTTTTTGAGACAAAGTCTCACTTTGTTGTCTAGGCTAGAGTGAGTGCCGTGGCGTCAGCCTAGCTCACAGCAACCTCAATGTCCTGGGCTCAAGCAATCCTGCTGCCTCAGCCTCCCAAGTAGCTGAGACTACAGGCATGTGCCACCATGCCCGGCTAATTTTTTTTTCTATATATATATTAGTTGGCCAATTAATTTCTTTCTATTTATAGTAGAGACGGGGTCTCGCTCTCGCTCTTGCTCAGGCTGGTTTGGAACTCCTGAACTCGAGCAATCCTCCCGCCTCGGCCTCCCAGAGTGCTAGGATTACAGGCGTGAGCCACTGTGCCCAGCCTAGTAAGTTGTATATTTCAATAAACTTTTCTTTCTTATATAAGTTGTTTGTTAGCATAAATTATCTATAATACTATTTTTTTATTTTTCTCTGATATTATTATCTTTTTATTTTCTAGAAGATCTGTAGTGATACTCTTTCATTCCTGATGTCATTGTGTTTTCTCTTTTTTCCCCAACTAGTCTTGCTCAGGGTTTATCAAGTTCATTAATCTTTCCAGACAATCAGCTTTTGACTTTGTTGATTTGTAGTCTAGTTTCTATTCTGTTGGTTTTTGCTCTTTATTATGTCCTTTTACTTTGGGTTGAATCTGTTCTTTTTTCCTTAGCTGCTTAAAGGTGGAAGCTTAGATCATCAATTTAAGCCTTTCTTTTATTATAGCATTTAATGGTATAAGTTTTCCTCTAAACACTGCTTTTGCTGCTTCCTGCAACTTATAATGTTTAAACAGTCATTTTTTTTTTTTTTTTTTGAGACAGAGTCTCACTTTTTTGCCCAGGCTAGAGTGAGTGAGTGCTGTGGCATCAGCCTAGCAACCTCAAACTCCTGGGCTCAAGCAATCCTTCTGCCTCAGCTTCCTGAGTAGCTGGGACTACAGGCATGTGCCACCATGCCCAGCTAATTTTTTCCTGTATATGTTAGTTGGCCAATTAATTTCTTTTTAGTTATAGTAGAGACAGGTCTCCACTTGCTCAGGCTGGTTCGAACTCCTGACCTGGAGCAATCTTCCCGCCTCGGCCTCCCAGCCACCGCACCCAGCCTCAGTCATTCATTTTCAAATGTTTCTAATTTCCCTTGTGATTTCTTACTTAACTGATCATTATTTAAAGCATGGTTACTGTATGCAACATGTGGTTGGTTCATGTCTTTTAATCTTGTCTAATAGTCTCATTTACAGTATTTAGCCCATTAAATTATCAGAGGTTTGGGTGTAAGACTGTTGTGTTATTTATGTTCTATTTTCTTATCTGTTCTTTGATCCCTGATCCCTCTTTCCTGCCTTGGGGGTGGGGTATTACTAAGTACTTTTTGGTATTTTATTGCACCTTTTCTATTGACTTTTTATTTATTTCTCTGTGTATAATTTTTGGTGTTATTTTATAATATGCATCTTTAACATCAGTTTACCTTCAAATAATATTGTGTCACTTGATAAACAATGTAATAGTCCTGTAGTTCTATCTCACCCCTTCCATTTCTTGTGCACTTATTGTCATATATTACTTCTGCGTGTTATAAACCTCACAACAGCTTATTGGCTGTTTAAATACAAAATAGATTGGAATAGAAATTTAAAAACACATAGAAAATAAAGATAATAGGAAGATATTTTGTATTTATCCTTTTATTTGGTCATTCTGGTGTTCTTCATTCCTTTCTCCAATTCCTAGCTTTTATCTGGTATTTTCTTCCACCTTGAAAACTTCCTTTAACTTTTTATTTTATAGTGAATGACTTCTGCTAATCTGAAAATATTTTAAAGGCTGGGTGCAGTGGCTCACACCTGTAATCCTACCAGTCTGGGAGGCCAAGACAGGAGGATCACTTGAGGTCAGGAATTCGAGACCAGCCTGGGCAACAGCGAGACCCCATCTCTACTAAAAATAGAAGAAATTAGCTGGGCATGGCGGCGGACACCTGTAATCCCAGCCACTCAGGAGGCCTAGGCAGAAGGATCGCTTGAGCCCAGGCATTTGAGGTTGCTGTGAGCTAGTCTGATGCCACAGCACTCTAGCCCAGGCAACGGAGCTAGACTATCTCAAAAAAGCAAAGATTTTTGATAGATGTAGAATTCCAGATTGAATTTTTTTTTCTTTTAGCCAAAGTAAAAGATGTTATTTATGGTGGTGTTTTCTGGATTATATTGTTTCTGAAGAGAAGTCAGTGGTTATTCTTAGCATTGTTCCCCTGTGTATGTTTCTCCCTCATCCCCTAGCTGTTTTTAATTTTCTAGAATTCTGGTTCTGTTCGGTCCTCAGACAGCTCTCTGATGAGTTTTTGTTTTGGTTTTTTGGGTTTTGTTTTGTTTTTTGAGAGAGTGTCTCACTCTGTTGCCTGGGCTACAGTGCCATGGCATCAGCCTAGCTCACAGGAAACTCAAACTCCTGGGCTTAAGCAATCCTTCTGCGTTAGCCTCCCCAAGTAGCTGGGACTATAGGTATGTGCCACCTTGCCCAGCTAATTGTTTCTATTTTTAGTAGAGATGGGGTCTTACTCTTGCTCAGGCTGGTCTCAAAACTCCTGACCTCAACTCATGCTCCCGCCTCGGCCGACCAGAGTGTGCTAGGATTAATATGTGTGAGCAACTACACCTGGCCTCTTCTTGCTTTTAAGAGTGGGAATGTTGTGAATTTCTATATTGTAACTAGAAGCAAAAGTCCAGTCATGCTATTATAAATAAATTCAATATTTATAGAGTTTAAGGGTTATACTATTTATTAGACAATGAACTTTCAGAAAATCTCAATATGTGTTAAAATTATTATTAAACATATTTTTAAAGGGGGGTGTAAATAAGTGACTTTTTAATTTCTGTATCTACTATAACCAAGTAAGGTTAGACCAGTACTTCTTTACTTAGAGTGTACTTGGAGTGATCTTTACAGCTTGGAGCCACTGTTACTGAGGGAAGTGTAGCAGTTTTCAGGTGTGGCCAATAAAAATGAGGTCCTGGAGTAGAGCTTGGCGCGCTTTCTCTATGAAGGACCAGGGAGTAAATGTTCTCAGTGTTGTGGGCCTCTGTTGCATATTTGTCTTTGTTTTTGTTTGCTTGTTTGTTTTTACTGCCTTTAAAAATATAAAAACTATTTGTAGTTGTAGCTATACAAAAATAGGCTGTAGATCTGGCCACATGTTACTGACCCCTGGGCTAAATGATCTTATAATAATTTTTGTCTCAAAATTATGTTCACATCTTCTAACCAGAAGTGTATTTGGTATAGTAATGTGTGAAAAGGCAGAGGACCTAACTATTAAGTGTCCTTTTTAATAAAGGCCTCAGCATATGATATATTTAAACATATTTGAAATTAAATTATGTAGGCTTTAAACAACTGTAGGCTAATTTTAAAAATTTAAAAATTATGTACTCTCTTACATATTCCATCAGATTTAGAGAAAGCCTTTTCTCTTTCAGGAGTACAAACCACCAGGAACCCGTAAACTTCATAACATTCTTGGAGTAGAAACAGGAGGACCTGGTGGGCGACGTGCTGGGGAGTCGGGTCACACGGTAGCTGACTACTTGAAGTTCAAAGACCTCATTTTAAGGATGCTTGATTATGACCCCAAAACTCGAATTCAACCTTATTATGCCCTGCAGCACAGTTTTTTCAAGAAAACAGCTGATGAAGGTACAAATACAAGTAACAGTGTGTCCACGAGTCCTGCGATGGAACAGTCCCAGTCTTCGGGCACCACCTCCAGCACATCGTCAAGCTCAGGTCTGTCCCCTTCGTGTGAGATTGGGCTTGGGAATATTTAATATATTTTTTTTACAAAGCAGAATTATTTTAAAAGTGTTTATTAAACTTATTAATGAGGTGGCAGGAATTGTTTAGTTAAATTTGTTCTTTGTAGTTAGTAATATAACAAATTGATCTCCCCCAAAGCGCAAGTATTTAATTATGTACCTAATAAATTCTCTTGATGGTTAGAAACAGAAGTGTTTATTAACCAACATTTTAAATTGTTTTTTAACTGGAGTTTTTGGTCACATTCTTTTGTTTTCCCCTCCCTTAACCCACCTTGTGATTGTATTTTAGTTAAGTGGTTCATGTGAGAGAACCCAGTTGTAGTCAGAGAATCCAAAGACTGATGTACTTTCAAGTTAATGCTATAGATTTTTTTTTCTTGGTGGCATACTTTCAGTTTTAATGGTATAGTTTTAAAATATAAACTTGAGCAGAATTAGCTTTGAACCCAAAGTTGTACTGTGTATGATATTTAAGGTGGCTCTTCGGGGACAAGCAACAGCGGGAGAGCCAGGTCGGACCCGACGCACCAGCATCGGCACAGTGGCGGGCACTTCACGGCTGCTGTCCAGGCCATGGACTGTGAGACACACAGTCCCCAGGTAAGCTCGCACGCAGTTGTTTGCTTGTGTCACCTGCTGTGCTCAGGTTTAGCAATATTGGGTGCCAGGTGCCTTTGGAATGATTATTTCATTTACTCTAAAGGTTCATAAAGTCGTCATGTCTAACTAGACAAGCACATTCTTAAAATTTTCCCCTCATTTAGAAATGGCTAACATGTAGTGGTGCATACTAGTTGTTCTTTTGAACATTTTTTCCCTGTGTTTATCTCATTGAGCAGAGCAACATGTTGAGCTTCATGCTATTTTGATCTCCATTTTACAGTGGGAACTGGGTCTTAGTGGGTTAAGAAAGTTTCCCTGGGCTGTGATCTTAATTACTACACTAGATTTCTTTCCATGATCTTTTCATAATCTCAAAGTCCTAGATTCTCAATCAGTTTCTATTTTGATTTTAGCCTCCATTTTTTTGTTGTTTGTTTGTTTTAAACTCTACTAAAGAAGAAAATCTAATAAAGTAATTTTTTAAAGATTGAAGTAAACAGGTGGTGGTGGTAAAAATGTTTAAATACCCTTGTAAAGTAAGTTGGTTCATACTGAATACTGCATTATGGTGTTTTATGGTGACAGACCAGTGTATTATTTGATGGATGAAGTAAAACTGATGTTTATTAATATCACTCTCTATTCTTATGACTGCAGCAGCTGAATGCTGCTGAAGAAAAATCACAAATGTAGCTCTGTTGTCACAGCTATTAATTAATATTCACCAACCTGTGCTGGGCAATCTTACATGTTACTCAAGACTTCCCATCTCTCTCCCATTCTCTTTAATAATTATTCTGCCTGTAGTACCAACTGCTCAGGAGGCTAAGGCAGGAAGATTGCTTGAGGTCAGGATTTTGAGGCTGGCCTGGACAGCATAGTTATGCCCTGTTTCTTAAAATTCTTAAAATAATAACAGTTGTTTCAAACTTTTCTACTCTTCTTAGAAACCTTTGGCCTCCCCTTCTCTGTTCTCACCCCGTCCTTGCTTTGCCAAGAAAAGAGTCTTTAGACAGGAACTCCCTCCACTTGGATCGTTAAATACATGGTCCTTCCTCCGTGTGCACTTGTCCAACTTCTCTTCCACTCCTTTTTTGTTAGAAGCATTGTGATGTATCTTGCCTGAGTCCAGGCCCACTTGATGCCCTGATCCCCTTTCCTTTTGTTTCGTGGGGACTTTGTCCTTTGGTCTCCCTCTGGTTCCTGTGTCTTCAGTCTTACCTTCTCTCTTGGGTCTTCTGTTGATCAGCATTTACTCATTCTCACATCTCTTCCATCTTAGGCAGAACTTTTCTCTGGCCCCCTGTCTGTCTTTTTTTTTCTTTTTCTTTTTTTTTTTTTTTTTTTTTTTGAGACAGAGTCTCACTCTGTTGCCTAGGCTAGAGTGCCGTGGCGTCATCCTAGCTCACAGCAACCTCAAACTCCTGGGCTCAAGTGATCCTGCTGCCTCAGCCTCCCGAGTAGCTGGGACTACAGGCATGCGCCACCATGCCCAGCTATTTTTTTCTATATATTTTTAATTGGCCAGTTAATTTATTTCTATTTTTTTTTTTTTTTTAGTAGAGACAGGGTCAGGGTCTTGCTCTTGCTCAGGCTGGTTTCAAACTCCTGACCTTGAGCAATCCGCCCGCCTCAGCCTCCCAGAGCATTAGGATTACAGGTGTGAGCTACCTCACCTGGCCTCCCCTGTCTTTCTTATGTTATACTTTTGTTGCTGTGGTCTTCACCTCTTTACCCTTTAAGAACCTTTTACCTGCTCCAGTTAGGTTCCTGGCTCCTGGCTTCATTGCCAGTGTCAGCATGGTTTTTATTGGTGAGTCCACTGGACACCCTAATGCTTATCTTTCTTCATTCCTCGATGGAATTTGACAGTGTTCACTTTCCCCACTCTTTGAAACAATCTCTGGTTTCCTTGGGAGGATATGCTTGCTATGCCCCCACTTCTCTGGCCTTTCCTTTACTGTCTTTTTGGGGGGTTCTCTTCTACCCACCATGAAACCTGGGTGTTTCTCAGGCATCATGTGTCCTGCCCCTTCTCCCCTCTCACACTTCCCAGATGATCTCATCCACTTCTAGCAATGCCTGCCGTCACCATCTTCATGTCGGTCATTCCCAGCTTGATTTCTGACTCAGATTTCACTCCTGAGATCCAGGAGCTTTATTTCTAATTATTTACTATAAACATCACTTTGAAAATCTCAACACTATGACACTACAGATATGTCACATAAACTGATTTCATCATTTTCACTTCCTTTCCAACTCTTGTATTGTTATCATTTATAAAAATGGCCCTAAATTTATCCACTTTTAAGTCATAAACCTGAGGATACTTCTTCTTTCCTCGTTCCCCACGAGTGAAACCATAAATTATGTGGATTCTCGGCATCCTAAATATGTTTTTATTCTCTCTCCTTCCCTTGACCCTGTTGCTATGACCACCTCTGGCCTGTCTCACTAGAAAGTCTCTTGACTGGTCTTCGGGGTCCAGTTCCCTTCACTCGTCAGCACTGTTCTCATCTCTGCAGTCAAGTGACCTTTTACTAAAGGAGTCGATCTTGTCATACTTTAAACCAGTTTGTAGCCGGCCCTTGTACCTAAAATAAAATATAGACTTCTTACCAAGGTGTCAGTGATTTCCATGCACTGGCCCCTACCCAGGCCATTATTTTTCCTCTTTACTCATTCTGGTCATAATGACTGTTTTCATTGTTTAGAATATACCGTGTTCTCTCTCTTTTCTCATATTTACTGTGCTTTCAGTCTGGAACACTTTTCCTCCCTCTTTTGCTTTGGTAACTACTATTTATGCTTCAGGTTTTAACTTAAATTTTCCTATTCCCAGAGGCTTTGCCTAATTCTTTGAAGTATCCTCCCTCCCTCCCTTCCTTCCTCACATTAAAAGGTACTAAGAGTAACATAAGACACCTGTGTACCTCCTGCCTACCTGTATTTGACAGAAGTCAACATTTTGTTTCAAATCATTTTTCATAATTAATTCTTGAATAGTTACTATAGTCAAATGGTTAAAAAATAGCTAAATATAAAAGGAGATTCAGTGAAAAATTTTATTTCCTTCCGTATCTTCTAGCCACCATGTTTCTAAACCACTGTTCTTAGTTTTTTGTGTACTATTTGAGATATTTATATTTTGGAATTTGTATAAGCAAATACAAATAATTTTTTACCCAACCTTTGTACATGGATGATAGCATATCAGACTGCTTCACATCTTGGTTCTTCTGTATGTTTGACGTATATTTTGGAACTCTTTCTGTATCGATACACAGAGAACTTGCTTGTTTACATTGTTCAGCTGCCCAGCATTCATTGTTTCATTGTTCTCTAAGTCACTGTCCCCCATTAATGGACATTTAGTTCATTTCCATCTTTTTTACTATTTACAAACGATGGTGTAATAAATAACCCTGTACAGTAGTCTTTCCTTATCTGTAGTTTCACTTTCCACACTTTCAGTTATCCATGGTTAACTGCAGTCCAGAAATATTAAGTGGAAAATTTTAGAAATAAACAGTTCATGAGTTTTAAATTTTATGCTGTTATGAGTAGCATAATGAAGTCTTGTACTGTCCCACCCTGTCTCACTTGGTACGTGAACCATCCATTTGTCCAGTGTATTCATGCTCTGTATATGCTTAGTAGCTGTCTAGGTTATCACATTGACAAAACAGTATATATAGAGTTTGGTACTATCCACAGTTTCAAGCATCCACTGGGGGGGTTTTGGAATGTATCCCCTGCAGATTAGGGGGACCTGCTATACAGGTGTCATTCGCACATAGGCAGTGTATCTGTGGTCTAAGTTCCTGGAAGTGAAATTGCTGTGTCAAAGAGTAATGTGATTCGTAATTTTGATTGCCAAATTTCCTTTCATAGGATTTTATAATCCAGCAACTTTTTTTTTTTTTTTTTTTTTTTTTTTTTGAGATAGAGTTTCACTTTGTTGCCCAGGCTAGAGTGAGTGCCATGGCATCAGCCTAGCTCACAGCAACCTCAAACTCCTGGGCTCAAGCAATCCTGCTGCCTCAGCCTCCTGAGTAGCTGGGACTACAGGCATGCGCCACCATGCCCGGCTAATTTTTCCTATATATATTAGTTGGCCAATTCATTTCTTATTTATAGTAGAGACTGGGTCTTGCACTTGCTTAGGCTGGTTTCGAACTCCTGACCTCACAATCCACCTGCCTCAGCCTCCCAGAGTGCTAGGATTACAGGCGTGAGCCACCGCGCCCAGCCAATCCAGCAACTTGAGCAGCTTCCTGTTTATAAACCATTCGAATTTTCTTTTCTGGAAACTCATGCCAGTTTTCTGGATTGTTTTCAATAGTATCCCTAAAAGTTTGGTTCTGGCCTGGCGCGGTGGCGGGAGGATTGCTCAGGAGTTTGAAACCAGCCTGAGCAATAGTGAGACCTCGTCTCTACTATAAATAGAAAGAAATTAATTGGCCAACTAATATATATAGAGAAAAAATTAGCCAGGCATGGTGGCACATGCCTATAGTCCCAGCTATTCGGGAGGCTGAGGCAGGAGGATCACTTGAGCCCAGGAGTTTGAGGTTGCTGTGAGCTAGGCTGATGCTACAGCACTCACTCTAGCCTGGGCAATAAAGTGAGACTCTGTCTCAAAAAATAAAATAAAAGTTTGTTTCTCAGACCACCTTCACTGAATAAATAATTTGTGTTAGCCACTGGTGATAGAAACAGTCTTTGCCCTTCCTAGAACTTACAGTGACACAAGTAAATAAACAACAGAAATGAATAAAAATTGCAAGTAGCATTAGCTGTTAAAAAGAAAATAAGAAAGGATAGTGTGATAGAGAATGACTATTTGCAGGGCGGGATATATTAATTAGAGTAGGCCAAACTCTGATTACAGACCCCCAAAATATGGTAGTTTAAAGAGTATGAGGTTTTTTGTACAACAGTCCAGAGTGGGTGTTTAGGTTAGTAGCTTGGCTCTCTTCCATGTCCTGGTCTCTTATCATCTTGTGGCTCCACTGTCCCGAGGGCCTAGTTGTTCACTGTGTGCAGTAGGCAGAAAGACTAGGGAGGTGTTTGTTGTGCCAGGCTAGCAGTGATGTACAAACTTTGATTCGCATTCTTTTGACAACTTAGTCACTCAGCCATACCTAAATTCGAGAGAAGCTGAGAAGTATATTGTAGCCATGTGCTCAGGAATGAGAAGAATATATTTTTTTGTGCACAACCAATAGACTCTGCTGCAGGGAGCAGTATTAGCCAGAGTGGTCCGAGAAGACTCTGGAACTGAAGTGATGAGAAAGAAGCTTCCAAGCACAGATGAGAAAAAAGGTGTTCTAGGCAGAAGGGAACACTGAGTACAAATGCCCTGCAGCATTTGAAAGATTTTGAGCAGATTGAGGAAAGGAAGGCCGACAGTGGTGGAACCCAGGTAGCAGGGGGAAGGACAGCTTAGAGAAAAGTTGGAGAAATAGGCATTGGCCAGATTTTGCAGACTGCTTTATGAATTTGGGATTGTCTTGTTTTTCTAAGTGCTCTGAGAAGTCTTCTTAAAGGATTTTAAATAGGAAAGTGATTAGATTTGTATTTTAAAGGGTTGCTCCTGCTACTCAGTTGGAGAAAGGCAAGGATGGAAGCAGGGAATTTGTTTAGGAGGCTGTTGTGTTAGTATAGGCCAGAGATACTAGTGGCCTGGAATAAGTGATGGTGGTGGAAGGGGAGAGGAAAGGTCAAGGTTTTGATCTATTTTGAAGGCAGATGCCCTAGGGCTTGCTGATGGGTTGGATGGAGGAATTGTTGAGCAGCTGGCTGGGTAGTAATCCTAGTCCTTTTATTGAAAGAAGAAAGATGGAGAGAGAAGGGACTTCAGGGGGAAAGTAAAGAATTCCTTTTGGACCTGCCAAAAATCCTTACAGAAAAAGTTTGCTGACCCCTGACATAAATAGGGCTCCCAAAGAAAGACAGTGGCTAGTGAAATATATGAGCCTTTTTATGGGTATGACTTCTTAAAAATTGTAGCTTTCATCATAAAGTACTTTTTACCCTTTAATATATTTGGAATTTTGTATTATAAAACTGTCTAACACACTAAAAGTTTCAAAACCCCTCTCTCCAAGATTAATATAAATGCTAGTGTCATAGCTTTTGATTGAAGATTAAAACTTGCAAACAGTACTTCGAATAATCCTTTTAAAATCTGTTCTTAACAGGTGCGTCAGCAGTTTCCTGCTCCTCTTGGTTGGTCAGGCACTGAAGCTCCTACACAAGTCACTGTTGAAACTCATCCTGTTCAAGAAACAACCTTTCATGTAGCCCCTCAGCAGAATGCATTGCATCATCACCATGGAAACAGTTCCCATCACCATCACCACCACCACCACCACCACCACCACCATGGACAACAAGCCTTGGGTAACCGGACCAGGCCAAGGGTCTACAATTCTCCAACGAATAGCTCCTCTACCCAGGATTCTATGGAGGTTGGCCACAGTCACCACTCCATGACATCCCTGTCTTCCTCAACGACTTCTTCCTCGACATCTTCCTCCTCTACTGGTAATCAAGGCAATCAGGCCTACCAGAATCGCCCAGTGGCTGCTAATACCTTGGACTTTGGACAGAATGGAGCTATGGACGTTAATTTGACCGTCTACTCCAATCCACGCCAAGAGACTGGCATAGCTGGACATCCAACATACCAATTTTCTGCTAATACAGGTCCTGCACATTACATGACTGAAGGACATCTGACAATGAGGCAAGGGGCTGACAGAGAAGAGTCCCCCATGACAGGAGTTTGTGTGCAACAGAGTCCTGTAGCTAGCTCGTGACTACATTGAAACTTGAGTTTGTTTCTTGTGTGTTTTTATAGAAGTGGTGTTTTTTTCCAAAAACAAAGTGCAAAGCTGCTTGAATCAGAAGGAGATTAACACACTGAACCGCTACAAGAGGGCAAAGCTGACTTTTTTTTTTTTTTTTAACTTGAAAAGATTGCAAAGGGACAATGAAGTGTTTAAAAGAGCCATGTCCAAACCCATCTTCACGGATAGCTCAGAGGTATCCTCTTTTTGCCTCCCTCATTTTAACTTGCCACATCCCAGTCATAGTGGGGTTTTTTTGTCTTTCTATTCAACAAAAGTTAATGTTCAGATGTTGGTCTTGGTCATTTGCCAACTAATTTTAAAATAAAAAGCACTGCACATAATTTGCATAAAGGGCCCCATGAGGGTGTTTTTTTTTTCTTTCTTTTTGCCCCCCCCCCTTTTTTTTGGTTTTGTTTTGTTTTGGGTGGGGGGTGGGAAATTTGGGTTTTTTAGTCCTCTAAACACACTTGGGCACGGAAATGCAGTACTGTAAGGAAGAGGGACCTCCAGCTTACACAAACATCATCTTCAGCTGTATGAAAGGGACGGTTGTATTGAAGTTTGTAAGGCACATTAAGCATGTTAAGTGGCGGGGATCAGAACTCTCCTATCTGAACCTACTGAGGAGCAAAGCAGCAATCACATGGGATCCTGTGGGTCTCCTGTTGTAGAGGCCGCAGTAAGATAGGAATGGAACGTGACTGGTCTCCTAACCAAGGTGCACTGAGACGCAATCAACGGGTCAGTTGTGGCCAGTCCTGGGGAGGTCTGAGTGGTGGTCTTTGGGATAACCTTTGGCCTTATGGATTTGGACTCAAAATTAGAAGAGCCTACCATTTCAGATGCAATCACTTTTGGACATGCTTTTGCAGACAGTCCTTAATGCTGAAAACACAGAGAATGGGTAATTCAAGAGGCCTTTCTTTTAAAATAGACTTTTGTGACCCACTAATTGTAAGGTATTGCAAGGTCACTTTGCGTGTGTCATAAAGTTGACTTCCTTATTGGTTGAAGGTCACAGAAGTAGTGGTTTGCTTTGATGGAAATAGCTACAGCTGTGTCCCTTCCTGCTTTTTACTTTTTCTTTTGCTTTTTCTCGGCACGTGGTATCTCCACCATTTCTTCTGCACAAAGATGTCTTCTGTTCATCCTGAACATTTTTAAAAAATGCAGAATTTTATGTGACTGCTTTTTTGCCTCACAATTATGCTGTGAATTTTACAAAAATTTATTTTCTTTTTTGATAATTTATTGTACCAAAGCTGTTTTTATAGCACATAGATGTCTGTAACCAATAATGTAGCAGTTCTGCACTTTGACACAAGGTGTAACTAGACCATTTTTAAATGTCAGTTGAAAATTATGGCTGTACTATTGCTTAAACAAAACTGGAACTGTTGTTGAATCCATAGCCAATACATTTACAGCAATCTGTGTACTGAACATAATAGATTGACATCTAATTCAAGATTACAACATCTGTTACATTCTAAATGTGTTCAGGCTTCTGAAGGTAAAGGGACACTGGATCCAGAAGCTATGGAACCAGCAGTTGATTCTTGTATTCCTGATTAACCTACTTGTAAACTTGAAAGCAAGACCTTGATTGCACCAACAGGTCCAAAATGTGAGCGCGAGTAAAGCAGAACTCTCATGCATGACCTGAGTGAGCAGGCTGGTATTTAACAGGTGCCTCGTTTTGAGATTATGCTGCCTTAATGTAACACAGTCTGGCAGTTGCTAAATTTGTGTTCCCATTTTAAATTGACCAATTTTAGGGTGTTAGACTTTTGAGCGGTTGAATTGGGAGAATGAAGATAAGTAATTTACCTGTCCAGGATCAAAAGAAGCCTAGAAAAGAAGCAGTAATCTACCTCTGCCGATAACCCTGTTCAAACAACGCAGCAGAACACCACATTACTTTTTATTGGTCAATTCCATGTGGCTGACTAGGTCAATTTTTTCTGAACAAAAGCAGGTTTTTATATGTAAACAGTGACAAAAGAAAGGCTTAAAACTATGTAAATGTGAATGGAAACTTGGAAATATCCATTTTTATAATCCACAAATTTTTTTGCTGTTAATCAGGAAATCCATATTTATTTTGTAATTAAATGTCAAGCCTGTGGATGATTTTTTTGAACTTGGTAGTTCATAAAGGTTTACAGTGAATAAAAGGATATCATCTTGAGTATAGCAATATCAAAAGGAATTCAGTAGTTACTGCTGTTTAGGAATATAATCTTAAGATATTATATGGGTCAGGTCATTTTTTTTCTGTGCTGGTTGCCACATCTTAGCAAGCACCAAAAAACTAAAGCAGTTTTTTAAACCAATATTTACATAAAGAAAATCATAAAATCCAATGCTTCTGCATACTGTGTTATGTTACAGTCCAGTTTTGTGTGCTTTACTACACAGTTTGGTTACAGGACTTCTGTGCATTGTAAACATAAACAGCATGGAAAAGGTTAAATACCTGTGTTCAGATTGTAAGATCTAGTCCGGACTTGCTGTGTATATTGTAACGTTAAATGAAAAAAGAACCCCCTTTGTATTATAGTCATGCGGTCTTATGTATGATAAACAGTTGAATAATTTGTCCTCAGACTCTTTACTATGCTTTTTTAAAATTAATTTAAGAAAAATGTAAACATAGTAAAAAATCTTCCTATGCAATTAACCTGGTCCAGGTCTGGTAGGTATACCAACTAGACTATAATAAGTCTAGTTAAATATGTAAAAAGGAAAATATTTGAGTTACATCAACATAGGCTTCAAAAATCTCTGAAAGTAAAAATTGGAGGTTTAACAGATCACTTTGATTTTTCAAATGGATTCTTTATATGTATGATTATTCTATTCACACATTTTCTGTCTGACTCCAAGTGCTAACATTTTAGTTTGTAGTGTGTAGAATTGATGTGAGGGTATGATGGTTTTCTCTAATAGGCTTTCACCTGCTGGGACGAAGGAGGGAATGTAGACACTTCCTCCATCCCCAAATCCTCATATGGAACATACCAAGGACTTTCTGTATGACTTCTAGACCACCTGCCACAGCAAGTCAATTTCTAACCTAGAATCTTCTCTTTTTACCAATTAACCTGCAGAAGTATATATTAAGGTGGCTTTCAGAAGGTAAGGAATTTATAAGTGTGATGCTGTAAAATTCAGGTTGGCTGCGTGTAAGAAAGGAAAACTTACTCTAGTTTTTCCTTAGGGTATGAGAATTTTACTTTGGTCAAGGGCACATTTTATGATACCAGACTCAAAACAAGATTTAATTTTATTTAATGAAAATTATAACTATGTGTAAAAAATCATTAGGTCTGCAGTAATTATGTAAGGCCTGAAAAATGACCATCGAGACAGCATGGTGGCTCATGCCTGTAATCCTACCACTCTGGGAGGCTGACGTACAATCGCTTGAGGTCTAGTTCAAGATCAGCCTGAGCAAGAACAAGACCCCGTCTCTACTAAAAATAGCAAAAATTAGGTGAGTGTGGTGGCACACACCTGTAGTCCCAGCTACTCGGGAGGCTGAGGCAGGGGGATCACTTGAGCCCAGGAGTTTGAGGTTACAGTGAGTTGTGATGATGCCACTGCACTCTAACCCAGGCAACATAAGTAAGACTCTGTCTCAAAAAAAAGCCATAGAGTTTGCCTCTGTACTCTTTCCTAGCTTTTGTTTTTTAACCTTATTGTCATGTTCTTATAATAGGGAAATACATAAACAAAATACACATAAAGACAAGATAGCACTCAATTCTAGGTCAGTTTCCTTTTGACCTGCTTTTATTTTGTTAGCCTTGATAATACAATTTTTATATCCATTTTTATAGTGGTAGACCATATGTAATAGACTAGATGGTTCATTCCAAATATATTGGTCTTAGTGCCATATATGAAGAGAGTTGTTCTTTTAAGATTTAGTGTGACAGAAACATGACTGGGACACTTACTGAGCCTATATTCAGATTTCTTAAAATCTACTTGGGACCTCTGTTGACCAGACCTTAGAAAAGCCTTTGGTGTCAGGAAGAGTAGATAGATAGAACACAAGTTCTGATTTTTTACCCCTGGCTCCTTACCTAGAATTGTTTCCTAGGATGAAAACATACATCAGGTAATTTTTAGTACAAAGAGCAAGAGAATAAACCTAAGATAGCTTATTTTATTCATTATACCTTTCAATGCCTGAAATGCTCTGTAAATGAATCCACTGAGAACCATCCTATAGGTGCCAATGGGGCTTTTTACCGTGGACTAGGAATTTTTTTTTTTTTTTTTTACATATCACTGTGTTTAAAGCACTAGATACTTGTTTTGTGGAAGATTTGGTAAGGTAAGTTCATCGTTTTGTGCGTTTGTTTTTCTCTTGGGCATTATGCAGAGCCAAAGTTGCAGAGTTCAGCTGCTGTCAGTGAGAAGTGAAGAAGAACCAGGATGTTTTTGCATCATAACTTTTTAAAAATAACATTACCTTAACATTGAAAGCATAAGGTATCTGTCACTTGTCTTTTTTTTTTTTTAATTTCTTGTGTCTTCAGAGGCAAAAAGGTGTTTCTCCAACTGAACGCTGATTTAAGCACACATGGTAACTAGAATCCCACACATTTCTTTTCAGTATGCAGCTTTACCTGAAAACATTTTTTTCATTATTTCCCCCCTTTAGGGTACGTCCTCTATAAAAAAGTGACAGGGGTGGGAATTAGTGTGGGTGAATTTCAATTTCAGTTTTGTGGGAATTCCCTGCCATCCCCAGAAGAGCCTGTGATCGCTTATGCAGGGCAGGGAGGGTACAGACAGGCCCTAAACTCGCTTCTTTTCGCTTTTACCAGGTAGGGTCGTCCAGTCTCAGCTGCGTCCTGAGTGAGCAGAGGTCTAAGAGTATGTTTGAGTCAGGAAAAATGACAAAAGCTCACTGGTCACGTTGGAGACGATGCTGGCAGTGGGCCTGGGCGACCGAGAGTGCCCGTAGCTAGAGAAATACTGAGCATTCTGCGGGTTGCAACACGTAGAAAGGCCATGGAAGTATTATTACTTAAATTTTGTGTTTGAAAGACCAGTTTATCTTAATTAAATTTCTAAAATTGCCACTTTGGGGATTTTTTGGGTTTTTGTTTTATTCTTGTAAATTTTTGTCCCCAATATTACTCGTTAATCACTGTAATTGCCCCTGAATTCTTTAGCTTAAATTGCGGTAAAAGGGGAGACCGCATCAAAATGCAAGGGGTGGGGTGAGATGGGTGTGTGTTAACTTTCTGAAATGAAAGTATTTCTGGTGGTATGAAATGGTTGTGTATGTTTTTAAAGATTTAAAGCATAATACAGTGAAATAGCTTAAGGAGAAAGTCCATTTTTATGCATGTCACAGACGGGCCGTAACTGCTGAAGAGGTAATGGGAGGCGGAGTGCGGAGGTCCCAGGTGCCACGCCCGCTCTCATTGTCCAGCCAATCAGGAAGCAGATTCTAGGAAGAAGGCGGTGATGAACGCTAGTGACACCAAACTTCCGTCAGTACTCACCACTTTAAAACAAGTTCTCAACTCTGCTGTACGCGACACTCATCTGTGGAACTCAGGGGCCCTATCACACTCCCAGAGTTTTTGATTCAGAGAGTTGGGTGTCTTGTGTTTTTTCAGAAGATTTACAGGTGATTCTGAACCTCCAGCCAGGCCAGGAGAAGCATCTGACAAGTCTGCATTCAAGAACGTCTTAAACGGAGTTTTATTAATGTTTATATACATACAGTAATGAATAATTACAATCTGCAACTTACATTGCATTACAAAATGTTATAAACAAGCCTCCGAGACAGGTGGAAATTGGCACATGTAAGTATGTAAACTTGCACAATTTGTTTCTTTTTGTCATCTTCCCTTATGGAAGGAGGTTCATGTGACGTCCTGTCAGTAGCTCTAGATGTCCCATGAGAACAGGGTGTGTTATTTCCCAGCAGTGGGATTGGGATTCGCCCCTTCACATCTCAGTGGCACGTGGTCTTTTGTAAGATGAGGAAGGGTCCCCAGGGCATCAGCCACTTGGGCTGTGGAGAGGTTACAGTTGCAGCCCCGAGGTTCCAGATGGGTTCAGATCTGGGCTGGTCCACGCGTTAGCTCTGGGACCCTGGGTGAACCACTGCACCTTCCTGAGCCCCTCACCGTTTTAGCTGTGGAAGGAGAAATCTGTAGTATCCACTTAGGGCATGCTGTGCAGGCTTCAGTGAGATAAGGTACATAAAGTCTTAGCACGGTGCCCAGTGTAGAGGAAGTGCCCAATAAATACAACACGTAGCTAACTAGATTAGAGCTAAGTCCACAGCCTGAATAGAGTCTCTTTTTTCTATGTGAATATGACAAACATGATGTGGAGAAATTAGGTGAATGATTTAACGGGATTATTTTCCAGTGTTCTTTTATTTCTGGAGTCTGTGACTAGATGTTAAATTACTAGTTGCTTTTGCAACTGTACGGTACCTATACATAGTTCAGAATTTAGAGGGGATTTTTGTATTTGCTTTGTTTCGATAAGATGCATAATATATAAATGTTTTATAAGGTTGGTTTTTTAGTTGAATTTTACTATCCAGCTTCAAGGAGGCTATCTGGAGGAGTAATCGTGCCAAAGTCCATTTTTTCACAAGCTTTGTCATTAGCCCGTGGTGACCACGTGTCCAGGCACCCTTTGCCCCAAGGCATCGCTGTTACACAGTTAGCCTTCGGAGATTTTTTTTTTTTTTGAGACAGTCTCACTATGTTGCCTGGGCTAGAGTGCCATAGCGTCAGCCTAGCTCACAGCAACCTCAAACTCCTGGGCTCAAGTGATTCTTCTGCCTCAGCCTCCTAAGTAGCTAGGACTACGGGCATGTGCCACTATGCCTGGCTAATTTTTTTCTATATATTTTTAGTTGTTTGGCTAATTTCTTTCTATTTTTAGTAGGGACTGGGTTTCGCTCTTGCTCAGGCTGGTTTTGAACTCCTAACCTTGAGTGCCGCCTCGGCCTCCCAGAGTGCTAGGATTACAGGATGAGCCACCGCCCCTGGCCGCTTTCAGAGATATGACTTAGGTCAGAGAAAAAGGAGGATGACAGATAAAAATCAGTTCTTAAGTTTGTAAATCAAACAGTAATATTGTTGGGGAAGCTCTGGGAACATAATAGGTTATAACCTACATTTAAAAAGCAGTAAGGAACTATTTAATAATTGCTGCTTTTTCTTTCTTTCTTTTTTTCTTTGTTGATGTTAGGTGACTGTACATCCAGCTTGGGTTCCTCAGTGTTATCTCCTTTTCATTCGTAAAGTATCCTCCCTTATATCAAATGTAAAGACAGAAATTCCTTAGGATAAAAGTTTGTTCATTTGCATTAGAATGTGCATGATTTGCATTACAATGGCCTTGGAGATATAAAGTTGAAACAATGGGTCTAATCATGGGGTCTAACTGTTCACCTGAGGTAGATAAAATACTTACGGGAGACAGAGTTCCCCACACTCCTAAAATTCAAATACTGTAGACAACCTTGTACTCATAAAGCAAATGGGACTGGCTTCCGTGCCTTGTCACAGCTCTTGGCCGTTTCCCTGACTGGTTTGCACGTCTGCA